ATTCATAAATTTGAATCAATATCTTGAAGTGAATGGATGACTTTTAATGAGATTGATAAAGTTGTAAGAAGAGATTGAAAAAGGTTTTTTTTTTTTTTTTATTAATTGCTAATTCTTTTGCCAAAGAAGGGTGTGGATCGAGATGAGCTGTTTGTTACCTAGATATAGATGGGTTGCTGCTATCTGACGCTTATGATTTTCTTTTGTAATCTTTATGTGCTTATGTTTGCTTCTGATCCTGGTTTTTTATCCCAATCAGTTTATGAACTGATTTCATCAATAAAATTTTTGTTTTGATCGAGAAAAAGATGGTATTATTAATTTTGATTCATTAGTTTCAAGGCTGGTGAAAATGTGAGAGAATCACAACCAAAAACATAAAACTAACAGAAGAATAATGATCCGAGGGAAAGATAATGAACCCTCCTCAAAATCTTGTAATTTTTCAGTCAACTCCCAGTGATATGCTAATATGGCAGAACATTATTAAAGAAACTAATCATGTTTTATCCATTTGGGAATTTTGCTTATCCAATCACTTATATTTCGCCTTTGATTTACATTTGTTTCCAAAATATTCCCAAAGTTGGTTTATTTTTACTCAATTTGAGTCCAAATTTTTAAACCTTGATTAGGTGTTTTAAGTAATGCTGCAGTCACAAATGGAACTGCCTACTGAAATCACCATCACACCCAATAACATATGTGTGTGTATATATATATATATATACACACGTATATATGATCAGTCAATCATTTAGATTTCATTAATATAAAAGATTTATTACAGAACATTCATCCTTGTTTACCACAAGATCCAGGGTCTCAAAATTTTCGATTGCAGCATGCCTCAAAACACCTAGGGATAACATCTATATTTTACATCCAAGCATGAAACATATCCCTACGGTTTACCCAATAATATTATTAGTGACAAGTCCATACTATTTCTTCATTTTGCCAGGAGATAGAGCACTTAAATTTCGCTTGGCAAAATATGCTTCTTGGTGGAAAATAGTCGGATTAAAATCCATGGTGTACTATAAATTTTTAGTATAAAAGATAAAAAAAAATAATGATTGAAATTCATAGCACTATTTTTTTTAATTTCTAGTTTATTTTTAAATCTCTTATCATATTATTTATCTAATTAAAAAAGATATTATATACATAAAATTTTTCGAACTCATAACTTTTAAATATCAATTTTAAAAATATATCAACTGATCAGGAAATAGTCTGTCATAGCATTATTTTTTAGTTAGTTGTATTTATTTTGCACTATGCCCTCCTTCGTTTCTTTGATTTTATCTCTGACTATTTGTCCAATGGCGTGACACACATGAGGCAATAAGATGAGTTGTACTTACCCTCCATACCCTAAGCAACTCGTGTTTGAAAACCATTTTCGTTTTGTCTGTCATCTTTGACTAGAGTCGGTAATGTTCTACGTTTTCACGATCACTTACGGGTCAAAGGGATCAAATAACACAAGCTAAACTTGAAAAATATATACATCATCAATGCCCCAAGCAACAGAGGAAAAAGAAAGTTTTTGGCAAATAATTCAAGTAGGAAAATTACCCTTAATTTCCCATTACCTTTAACTTTTACACTTTAGGCATTGGCTCCGATTATCAATTAAGTTCTATTTAATTGATACTTTTCTTATTTAATTTTGCAAAAAAAAAGCAAAAATATAAACCAAAAACAGAGTCCTAATGTTTCTTGGTTGTTGATCAATAATTTAATATTTAATAATAGTAATATAATCTATATGCCTAGACTCAAATTCACCTTCTTGGACATTTTAAATTAATAACCATTCGATATGGGACAATAACAGCAATCTTGAGCTTTGTTCTCTTTAGTTGGTTCCCATGTTTATTTCTATTTTATTTAATAAAATTTTATATTTTGTTGTAACAATTAACAATCAAACCAACTGTATAGAGCTATTGATATATATACATATTATATATATATTAAAAAGATTGATATATATATACTATATTGTTTTTTAACAACAAGAGATTAGGGGTTTTTTTGGATAGTGTAGACAGCAAAATGAGGCAAATAACCAATTGTCCAGGCTTGTTTGGGCAATGCAAGTAATTAACAGTACTTCTAATATGTTTGATAGCCAGGAGTATTTCATTCTGATCCAAGAAACACAAGTTATATCATCTAAATTATAAGATTTTGATCGTTTATCCGAACTAATCTGCCGACCAATATGGGCACATGCCTTGCAAGGCATGAAAGAAAAGTTCATCTCCGAGTTTAATGTGTTTCTTAGACTAGTAAGGAAAGCTGAAAGTGCACTTATTTCTCTCGGTAGCTAGTTAACATAGGAAGGTAGGACCATTTAATTCGAAATGTTTATGGATTTTCTTGGGGTAAAGTGGGTGAATCCAAAAAAAGCAGCAATTAATTGATCAATGAAAAAGAGAAAGAAATTTTTGTTGAATTGTATAAAACTTATACGTTCTTTTAAATTTAGAACCGTAAATGAATTAAACATGAACGAACAAACATATGTTCGTGATTTGTTTGTTTATTTTTAGAGATGTTCGAACTCGGTTCATGTTTGGTAAGAAATTTATTAATTGTGTTCGAACTCAATTTGTTTAAATAATAGAAGATTTGCATTCATTTATGTTCGATTCGTTTAAATTAAATGAGCTTATTCATGAATAATAAACGAATATATTTAAAGTATTTTTGATCAAAAATATTTTGAATAATCTTTTTTAATTTTTATAAGGAAATTATTTAAGGTATTTTGTCCAAAGATACCTTGAATAATCGCTTTTCATGTTTTTGGGGATTATTCAAGGTGTTTTTAACTGAAAAATGTCTTGAATAATCCCTTACAAAAAATTGAATAAAGTTATTTAAGGCCTTTTTTTAATAATTCCCTTCAATTTTTATGAGAAGATTATTCAAATCATTTTTTTTCAAAAAAACCTTCGATAATCTCCTCCCATTTTTTGGGAGATTATTCAAGATATTTTTTGTCAGAAAAAATCTTGAATAATTTCTTACAAAAAATTGAATGGGGTTATTCAAGGTGTTTATGATAAAAAACACTTTCAATAATCTCTTTTTTTTTTGGATTATTCAAAGTATTTTTGGGCAAAAACACTTTGAATAATCCTGTTTAATTTTTTTATAACAGATTATTTAAGGTATTTTTTGTCAAAAATGCCTTTAATAATCCTCTCATAAAAATCGAAAAGGATTAATCAAAATATTTTTTGTTAGAAATATTTTGAATAATTTCATTTAATTTTTTGTAAGGATTAGTCAAGATGTTTTTTTGGCTAAAAACGCCTTGAATAATCTCTTAATAAAAATTAAAGATCATATTATTCAAGACATTTTTAGCCAGAAACGTCTTAAACATGTTCATTTAATATTCACGAATAAGCTAGTTTAATTTTTTTGGAGATTATTCAAGGTTTTTTTTACCCATAAACCCTTTTAATAAAAATTGAAAATGATTATTTAAGGCATTTTTGCTAGAAATGTCTTTAATAACAAAAAAAAAAAAAAAAACATTAAATAATCCCCTTCATAAAAATTGAAAGAGATTATTCAATGCATTTTTTGTCAGAAACGCCTTTAATAACCCTATTCAATTTTTTGTAAAAGATTATTGAAAACGTTTTTATGCCAAATGTCATATATAAACTAATTTTTTTATCAATATAAACCTATAATTGACTTGTATTCATTTTCAAACATGCTTTTTAAAATGATAACAACTATTTTATAACATTTTAGTTAAGGTCAAATTTAAAAATAACTTTACTTTTTCTCCAGAATCCTAAAATACCATAGGTATAAGTGAATTTTTTATTCCGGGACTTTGAGTACTGTTAGGAATCCTCAGTTTTTCTTAGAATCAGGTTACCCTGAACCAAATGTTGAAATTAAATACCTAACAGTAAGATTTCAGAGAAAAATATTTAGATTCTCCTGAATCAAACGTCCATTTATTTTTATCAAACAAACGAATAATAGACGAACAAATTTTAAACGAACTTTAAACGAGCTTGTTCGTGAACGTAAATGAACGAACAAATAGTTATTCATGTTTGGTTCATTTAATAAATGAATATACAAATGATATTCAAGATCATTTGTTAAGCTTAATAAACAAACAAAAATCAAACATGTTCACAAACGGTTCATCGAAAACTCTGTTCACTTACACCCCTAGTTTTAATGAAAAACGTATAAAATATTAAATATGTATAAGTATTAAATGGACAACATTTGGATGAGGTTTTTTAGATGAAGTTTATGAAATTTTTTTAAAAATGATTTGAGAAAAACTTTAATAAAAAATCCAAACCGATAAACTGATAAAATTCAATGTGAATATCAATAATATGTAAAAAAATTATTAAAATATCGTTTATAATTCAAATTTAACTGGTATTTATTTAACTATAAAATTTTATCAAAATTTTTACTAAAAGTATCTATCTAAAAATATATAAAAATTTTAAAATTTTTTAAAAATTTATACACTTAATCAATATAATAGGATCTTTTTTATTAGTTTTAATTTAATTATTTGTAATATGAAACTTCATAAAATTCATCTAAAAAACTTCATTCATATAAATATTTTCTTGTATTAAATAATATGCATCTAACATTACAACAAAATTGTGATGGATAAAAGTTTGTCTATAAAAGCCGAAAATAATGTGGACTAGCACGTCTTAGGTTCAATACTCTCTTAAATTAATAAGACAAAGTCAAGCATATGAAACCATAAGGGAGAGTGGTCTAAATAAGTTCTAAGGTACGTCATTTGTACGCTATTTGTCCTAACCAAGCCTCATTCAAAAGTGAAGAAGATAGACATGTATTATTCCTGACACTAGCCATACAATTGTGTCTTAAAGTATAAGAACTAGAAGGTAAAGGGCTGAGAGAACGGGTCCACTTGCCTTGCTGTCACTCATAGCATTTTTCCCTTACATAGTTATTGATTTGAGCGTTGAAACGAATTCTTAAATCTTAACTTAGGCGTTCTTAATTTTGACTGTCTTCTCTTGTTTGACAGGTTGAGCGATCCCTCTTTCTTAAGCTTTCTACGAATTTTACCTTGCAAATCCAAAAACATCTCAGCAATATATCTCCTGGCAGAATCGTTGAACAAAATTTTTTTATTGCTTGTAAAACGTATCGACGGGATTAAGACAATGTAAGAACCATATTTAGCAAGCATCTTCCTTAATTCCTTCAAAACCGTCCCAACTTAAACTGATCAAAATATTTTTCCATTTTAGAGCTTGTCTTACCTCAGTCAGTATAATTTGCTTTGGTTCTAATCATGCAGTTCTTGTTATTGTTAAAGATGTGAATTTGACTCAACAACTCAGGTATAAAATACCAAACTAAACTTATTACAGTAAAAATCAAGGTTTTTTTTTTTTTTAAAAAGAAAAAATTGTTGTATGATCGCTGATGATCAGTTAAATTTGCATGACATTGTTAGGTTTTTATAGTAGCTTAAGTGTTTGATCTTGTTTTACTATATTATTACGTTAACAGGAATGTTGAAAGAAGATTTTCAAACATGGATTTTCCTTAAAATCAAATGCTACAGATCACTGGGATTCAGACATGTAAACTGAGCCAACCTGAAGCGAGATTCCGTAAATATAAGGGAACATACGAAGGTTCACCTTCTTAAGGTTAGGTCACATGATTGCCCGAACCCGAAATGGTCAGGTGGATTATCAAATGTCTCTCCACTTCTCCTCTCGACACGTAGCACTGTTCCTAGCACTTTGCACTCATTGATTAAGGTTTCCAAATTCTTCGTCTTTGCTCTTCCTTCTTAATTCCCCACTTTAAATTCTTTTCTATTTCATCATTTCCTTTTCACCTTCTCATTTCCACCGTTGGATCACCCATCCAACCACTAACATTAAGTAAACTTAAAAATTAGAATGAAATTGATTTAACAATTTTAGTTATGATATGTCAGTGATATTATATGAATATAATATAAAAGTGACACGTTTAAAAGTTTAATAAAAATTATATATAATTAATAAAAAAAAAATTTATTTTATATTTGATATATAAAGATTAATTATAATATGATGATTTTATATTTTACATATATTAAACACTAATAGATGTATATGAATTGAAAGCTATCCAAGAGATATAAACTTTGCCTTTGCTACGTCTTTTTTTAGGCTGTCTTATCATTTTGTTAGTGTGTTAAACAAAGCAAAAGATTTTTAGAGTTTAGAAGTAGTAGTACATTGTTTTTCCATAATTATTTCTGAATGGTTTTATTAGATCATCCGAGATTCTAATGAAGTTCTTAGCCGAGACTATCTAAAAAACTAAGAGTATAAATATAGAAAGGGTTATTAAAGATCAACAAGAAGAAGAACAGCTACACCCTTTTCTTTGGTTTTCTGGGAGCGATCGGAGGGAAGATTTTTAGTTTTGGGGTTTGGTTGAGTTAGTGGAAAGGAAAAAAAATTAGGAGAGGAAGGAGAAAAACAAATGGGGAGAGGTAGGGTTGAGTTGAAGAGGATTGAGAACAAGATCAACAGGCAAGTAACTTTTGCTAAGAGAAGGAATGGGCTTTTGAAGAAAGCTTATGAGCTTTCCGTTCTGTGTGATGCCGAGGTTGCTCTCATCATCTTCTCCAATAGAGGAAAGCTGTACGAGTTTTGCAGTAGTTCAAGGTATCACCAAAACAACTAAAGCTTCTTTGTACCCTCTTTCAAAAGCAAAACCAAAGAAAAACAAATACCACTTCTACACTTCAGAAATAACAAAGTTTTTTTTTCCTTCATAAAACAAAGCAAGCTCTCTCCTTTTTTTCTCTCTCTTTTCTTTAATTTCTTACTTCTCTCTTTTTTTTTTCTCTTGAATATTTTATTTTCTTTCTTTCTTTTTTCTTGCTTTGAATTCTGACGTTAGATCTTGAAAGGTTGAAGAAGTGGATTTTTTTGCTGTTTTGAGTGATTGGGTATTGAAGCTTTGAGAGAAATTTTGAGAAAAAAGAGTAAAAGTCTAAGCTTGTGTTTCAGTTTTGCCGTTTTGGTGAATGTCTCGGCGTTTATAGCAGGGCCTGAGTGTTTATCCTGTTCTTATAGATGTTAGATCTGCAACTGAAAACCTTAAAAGAAGATCACTGTTATATTGACTCTAATTTCATGTCTTTCTTTCCCTTTTTTTTTTTTTGGGTTTTCCCAAAGCCCTTTCTTTCCTTTTTTCTGTTTTCTTCCTTTTTTGTTTTATCATCTGAATTTGTTTTCCTTTCTTTAGCTTAATCTTTTCTGCTTAAATTTTTATCTCTGATCTAAAGTTTTTCAAGTTTAACATAACTAAATTGAAGAAGCTCGGAGATCTGTTCACATATTTGGTTCATGAATGAGTTTTTTGTACTTTCTTCTTCCTCAAAGATTAAAAAAAAAAAAAGCTGAATACAGGCTTTTCTTTTCTACTTCTTTTTTTTTCTTGCTTTTCTCTCGTTCAAGCTTTCATTAGATCGTGTTTTCCTTCAATTTTTGCTGTTAATCACCATAAATCATGGTTATTAATTTCTTAGTGGCTGTTCCTTGGAGATCAGTAAATTTTGTGTTGAGCAATTCGGATAGATGTTTTGATTGTGAAAAGTGAAACATTTTTGAAAAGCAAAACAGAAAAGGAACCAATGGATCGTAGTTAAATGGCTTAATGCTCTATCTTCTGATCCATACGAGCAGTTTCAGATGTCACTAATCAGTAATCAATCAAGCAGCGAAGACAAATCAGATATTTTACAGTGTCGTATTTCTATTTATTCGGATGAGTCTTTTCTTTCATATACAAAAACGAACTTCCTTGTTTCCGGAGGATTATGTCTGCTTCTCTCTCTAATTTCTGGGAATTATTTCAATGATCAGTTAAAAGTAGATGGAGACATCTCCATGAATGCGTCTGAGTTTCTAGGGTTTCGATTTTCCCAAAGCTGCTTCCCAGGTTAGGGTTTCAACTTTCAATTCTTTAACCCCCTCTCTCTCTCTCTCTCATCCATAACACCCACAGTTTCCCCAATCTGAATCCGTAAGAAAAATTGACCCGATCCGCCCGTTTTAGTATGCAATGGTGTAAAACTTCAGGACATTTGTTTGGTATACTTTACCTATTTGAGGTATCTTGCATTGTGAAAAACTCACTCAACCAATGTAACAATTTCTTTTTTTTTTTTTTCCACTCAGTCTTTGTGCTTAATTTCTTGTTTTCTGGGATCCATCATTGTTCATTGAATATTAACTATATTCCTGTCATTATGTTTATTAATGGCTTGTATCCTTTTAACTAAAGTTTACCTTGACATGTAGCATGATCAAAACACTGGAGAGGTACCAGAAGTGCAACTATGGAGCTCCAGAGACAAATGTTTCAACTAGGGAGGCTCTGGTAATGCATATACTGCCTTCTCCTTGCTTTTTGTTCTTTAGAGTTTAGACTGCTTCTCTATATTACATAAATAAACTTGACTTGGAAACAATTTAGGTATAATTTATGGACATAATTTATTACCTTCTTTTTTGAGAAGGGTTGTAATTTTGAACTAAATAAAATTACTCATCGAACTCAGGACTTAGCTCTGTTGGTCTATGTAGCTAATTTAAGAGGTGACATCCAATAGATTTAGGTTTCAAATCTCAATACTTGCAATTGTTTCCCCTATTCCTAATTAGCTACAGCCTTCATTGCACCAAAAAATTTAAAATTATTCATGTTACTCTTTGCAATCTAAGAACTAATTTTGTTTATCTTAGAAATGGAGACGTGTAGTTAGAAATAGATATTTTCTCATAAATGTTAGCGAGAAACATATGCCTTTGCTACAACTGAGTGCAGTTTGGATCTTGTTTTTCCCACTTTGCTTTTTACTGTTTGTGTTTGCTTTATATCTATCCTATATTTGTTGGTAAAAGGTTAAGCAAATAAAATAAATAACTATGATCTACACCCTTATTAAACTCTAATCAGTCAGTAGATGATAAAAAAGGGGAAGACAAAAAGAATTAACCAGAGAAAATGCAATATGGGAATACTTATTAAGATCAATTTTGGTGTCCTAATTAATGTCCTCTGAATGATAAAATTTGGTCGAGAATTAATTAACCCCATATTTCCATGAGTTATTAGGCTTAAGAGAACTGTCTACAAATTGAATCATTCTACCAAAGGCTAGCATTTGTTAACTTTTGCTAATTTTAGCTGAACCCTCACCTATTTATGTTAAATTTATTCGAGATTTAACAGCTAAATTAGACTGCAATGACAATTGATTCAGTTTGGATCGGGCAATGATACTATATTTCATCCTTAAAATGCCATGTCTAGCTAATCGAAGATGTTGCAAGTAGGGATAAGAATGAGCATAGTCTAAATGCAATGTTTTTATAAAACTTCCTTTGCCTTCAAAAAAAGAAAAAAAATGAAGTTTCATGACATCAAGTTCAATTTTTCATATGTATCTCATATTGCAATTCCCATCCATGCTGTCTTTATAGGAGATAAGCAGTCAGCAGGAATATCTGAAGCTTAAAGCACGTTACGAAGCCCTACAGAGGTCCCAAAGGTGAGTCAGCAACCATTGAAATGACGAAAAGTCTTGGTAATAAATTTATGCTCACAGGCAAAGGATGTTTGGAGTATGGACATGATTCATTATTTCCTTGATTTGTTTTGTTAGGAATTTACTAGGAGAAGACCTAGGCCCTCTAAGCAGCAAAGAGCTTGAGTCGCTTGAGAGGCAGCTTGATTCATCATTGAAGCAGATCAGATCAACGCGGGTACTTTCACTCTAGAATCCACTACATAAATCTTCTATAATCTTCTATACATTAAAAAAAAAAAAAAAAGAGAGAAACTGCATTCATATATTAAAGCCATGCATCTCTTTTATTCTAAAAACTTATTTGGAGAGTGGCCAACCTCTGCGTTTATATATGCGAAATAGGCTGGATGTCCCAACCCTTTCTTACGGTGAAAACAGCACTTCTAACATATATAACATGTTCGATTGATATCACAAGCATGCTTATAGAAATCATAACAACAGTATATACATGTGAAGAGCAGTTTTGAGAGATTTGTTCAATGTTCTTTGTTCTTGTTAGCATAGTATTAACTGAGGCTTCTTTGGTTCCTGAGTTCTTTAAAAATGTTATGAGAAAGAACAAAAAACTTTTAAATATTATCTACCAGACCTGGAGATACTCCTACTAGTTAAGATTAACTGCTGTCTTGGGAAAAACACATAAGATGGAAGTTCAATTTTTGTACATGTTCTTTTTCTTTTCTTTTGTTCATGTGTTTCTAATAAACATTGGATATCTCATTTGACTATTTTCCTGTTGTAGACCCAATACATGCTGGATCAGCTCACTGATCTCCAACGAAAGGTCTGCCATTATCTTAATCTAGATTCTTAAATTTCAAAGTCAGATTCTTGTCTCTCTCACCAATGCAATATCTTCTATTCTCTTTAATGCAGGAACATCTGCTTAATGAAGCCAATAAGACCCTAAAACAAAGGGTAGGTTACTTTTACAAACTTTAAGGGCATACCAAATTAATCAGGAAGGGAATTGCCTTGTATGCTATATATGCTCAGTTACTCAACAGTAGTATGCTACGTATTTATGGATTTTAACGTGTCTATTTAAAATGGTGACATGCTCCAATTCTGGTTAAGATTTCCTCCTTTTTGCTCACCAATCTTAACTTATTCAACTTTATTTGTTGAGACAATCAATATCAAAAGTCCATATTTAATGACTTGTGAATCGGTGCTTTTGCAGTTGATGGAAGGCTACCAAGTAAATTCACTGCAGTTGAATCCAAATGCAGAAGATGTCGGCTATGGCCGACAACCAGCTCATCAGCCTCAGGGTGATGGCTTCTTTCATCCATTGGAGTGTGAGCCAACATTACAAATTGGGTACGACCTTCTGAATTTAAAACAAAAACATCAGTTCCCTTTTTTGCTCTCTTAAATTTGTAGTGATAAATTGAATGACATAATACTACTTCGCCGTAATATCATATTAAGTTACAAACTCCGGATTCTTGTTACCATGAACCTAACCAAATCATTGCAGATAAAACTACAATATATCTTACAATGCCGACTTTGTTGAATTACAGATATCAGCATGATCCCATATCAGTCGTCACCGCTGGCCCAAGTGTGAATAATTATATGACAGGATGGTTACCATGATATACATAAGAAGAGAGCATGGGCAGATCATTCATGTATGGTATGCATTCCCTCATAAGAATCTGTTCGTATGTTATTTGATGAAACAAAATATGTGTAATGGCATGGATTTAATATTATAAGTTTGTTGTGTCTTTAATTAGGATGCACTGTAACTTCTTGTATGAGTGCTCAAGCACTGCGCATCTTTCTTTGAGCAGTTTAATTTGTTTGAAATAATGTCTTGTTTGCTTTGTAAGAGGATTCAAACTGTGTTTTTGCTTAATTTGTTTTTGCATCAACAAACACATGCGTTCTCTTTTCTTATCTCATCAACCGTAAATTCAATCAAAAAATTCAGATATAACATCTCAATTATAATTTTCGTTTTAACATGCATGGATCCCATTTTTTTTATATAAATACAACCACATTATCATTATAAGCATATGAATTCATATGTATTGATATGGTAAAATTTTAAAGATATGATGCATTTTGATTTATTGGACAGAACTAAAATGATTATTATAAATATGTGGATCTATGCATGCTTATATAACAAGTTTTAATTACATATGTTGCATCTTGGTTAGTTGGACTCATACAATTAACATCATAGAAAAAGATTTATGTAATATATAATTACTTCCTCTATAGCTCTTTTTCACCTGTTATATTAGATTTAGGGGAGATCCACCATGCGAGGATATCCTTGTGAATGTTGTAATGTAATGAAGTTTATTTAGCATAAATTTTTCATTGAAAATTTTTTTTCAATCATAACTATAATAATTTAGTTTTTTCAATTGCAGTTATAATAATTTTTATGATTGCTTTCAAGCTTATTAAAATTAATCTTACCATCTATCCAAATATAATCTTAGTTAAGGACAGGCAAACCCAAAAGTTTTAGGTTGGAGGGCAAAAGCCTAGGTTTGTTGAAACCGCAGTTCGACTTGGGGGTGATGAAGACAAATGAGATATATTATTTTACAAAAATAAATTAAATTATATTAAGATCACTTTAAAAAGTTTTTTTTTTCATTTTCATGAAAATACATCATACATATCATATATAATATATAATATTATATTATATTATAAAATATATAAAAATATGATAAGGTATGCCACGTAAATGTTTATGTGAATAATTTATATTTTTGACACATAAGAAATTATTTAAAAAAATTTGCTTAGGTATATATTTACTTAAATGACTTTTAAATTACTACTGACAAAATCTAATTTAGTTATATTATCTTTTTAAATTTTAAATAAATTTTCTAATAATCTAGACAATATCTATTTAAATTTAAAAATCTCAAACATAATGATATTTTATCATTTAAAATGGATTTTCTATAATCTAAATATATATTTCTTTAAATTTAAAAATCTTTTATATCTTTTTAAATCTAAAATATAGGTATGTAAAATTAAGAGTATATCTTATTAAAACGAAACATATATTTCAAATAGGATAATATCAAGTATATATTATTCAAATTCAAATATCAAAAGTTCCAATTGATTAACAAACAACAAAATTTGGTAATTAATATTTCGACCAATTTAGATTTTAGGCTATAAAATGGATAAAACGACCTATCTAGATTTAATATTGAATTCAGATGAATACTTAATAAAATTTGAATAGATTAAATTATAATAAAAATTTTAAACTTAATATTCATTTTATTTGATTCGAATTTTACCTATTTAGAGATTTTTTTTACATTTACATTTTTCAAAAAAAAAAAAATTACCTTCCTAAATTTCTCTATAATCCTTTAGTTTTATTATTGTAATTCAAAAACATAAATATCACTTATTATATTGTTTTTAAATTCCAAAGATATTTGTCACTTTAAAAGTTATCTACATATCCTAATTATCATCCAACATCTATAAATGATTTGATATACATAGTTTTTTTTTTTTATCTAATTTGCAACTTTTCATGATTTCGTTCTTATAAAAAAAAATATACAATTCTTTTTTATTAATTTTTTTCTTTTTCTCTTTCAAATATTGTTTAAAGATCACAAGTGAAGGTATGTAGATACCACTCTTATGGTTTAATTCATTATTCAACTATGTGTATTTATATTTTTAAAAAATTAATAGCATTTTTTTATTTTTTTCATATATTTTAATATTTTGATCACAATCATAATAGTAAAGGTATGTATAACTTTTTTGTAATTAAATTAAATTTTTATTCAATTACCTTTAGAGAAAAGAAATTGAAATGATAATATATAGATTGTCCATATAATCCAATAGTCATATGATGTTAAAATTTTACATAATATTTACTATTATGATGTAAATAAGTATTACGTATTCTTATTATGATGTAAAATAAGTATTTCAGACGTGTCTTTAGTAGTATAATCCTATTAATATTTCAAACTAATAAAAAATTCTTAAATAATACATAATTGGTCCATAAATTATGAACATCACATTCTTTGGTTTCTTCTATTGGCTAGAAAACAAATGAAAACATCTTTATTTATTCTCATAATTTGTTTTTTTTTTTGTCATTTTTATTTTGTAAAAACTTTTTTTCATTAATACACATGTTTCTTCTATCATTTAGTATTTTTTTTCGTAACACATTGATTAAATGACAAGATTAAATTATAATAATGATATAAAATTTTAAAAATATTTTATATTTGACGAAGTTTAATTTATATATTTACACACATTTAAATAAATAAAGTTAATCCGTACATTGCATAGGTTATAAAACTAGTTTTGTATAATTCAAAATCACATATATATAAGAACAAAACAAGCATTCATCTCAAGGGATCCAACAAAAGTGACTAAGACAAACAGAACACTGGAATAAGTAGCTTAAGTAGAGTATGTAAACAACAAAACAAACATGAGTTTAGGTGCAAGACATCAACAAATGTTAGAAATTAAAGTCACAATCCATAACCATCAAGCAAGACTTTGAAATCTAAAGCAAAACAAAGTAAAAAGCTCACACATATTTTAGAATTATACAATCCACCACCTGAAATCTAATGCAAACAAATAAAGTAAAAGCTTCCATGGCCTAAAAGCTTTTGCTGATTCATCCATCATGAGAATCTGCTGCATGCAATGGTTAAAAATTGTATGAGTACTTAACAAATAGAGCTGAAAATTAATTACTAAATAAATAGAATATCATAAAAAATAATATATAAATGTTTTATATCCAAAAAGATAATACTCCCTCTGTCTTATTTTTTATGTTCATTTTTTTTAGATATCATAAAATTATGTCCTATTTTCTTTTTTTTTTTCCTTCAAGGGAGGGCATAGCCCCTATAAGGGGAAAAAAAAGAAGAGATCATGACTCGAAACCAGAACCTTTACATTCTTATAAAGCATTGTTGGTCACTAAACCAAGAGGTGTAGGATTTCTCTTTTGAATATATAAAACTCTTACTTTTATTTTTAAAAGTTATTTTTTATGATTTTTTTTAACTTTTTGATATTGAAAAACATGAAACTTTAATTTTATAAAAAAATTTAAAATTTAATATTAAATACATTAAAGTTAATACTTTTTTTTTTAAATTTCATAAAAGTCAATTCATAACAAATATTTTGAGATGAAAAGAATAACTAATAATGATTCAGTTCTATTAGTTGCCTTCTACAATTTAAATGTAAATACGTGTTTCATGACAAAATTAAAATGATTAAAAGTATATAGGTCCATGAAAAAAAATTATTACTCCATAAAATGAAAGTAAATAACAAAGAAAAATTATCTTGTTTGAAAATGTTCTAAAGCTAAAGAAATTTTGTATTCTTAATTTGTGTTCAAATATTACCATTTTTTGGCCCTTTTGTTTTATCATTTCACAGAAATTCTAGGTGACAAAGGTTGCAATCAAATGTAAGTCTAAAAGAGTGATAGACTATATTTTTGAAATATTCTACTTAATCATTGAGTTTTGTTGGTGTATGTAGAAAGAAAAAAATTTGGAAAACAATCGAAAGTTTCCGACGAAATTTATCATATATATCTTAAAAGACATGTGACATTCTATTAACTCGCTTGCAAAATCTAAAACCTTAGCGGATGGAATAATTTCTCTAATTATAATAGTTAAAGTAGACTGTTATGGCAGTAAATGAAAGCTCACCTCCTTTTATTTTGAGTGAAAGCTAGCTCCAAATTATATACCTGCAGCGACTTGAATCATAAAAACTTTCCAATTAAAAGTAGTACATTTTAGAAGAGATTAAAAGAAAAAAAAAGTTTTATATGACAACCTAAATAATGTAGGACACTCTTAAAATATGACATAATGACACGATACGAAAATGATACAAATAAAAGATATGAAAATAACATAACATAAAATTTTAAAAAAATCATAAATAGATTTAATAAAATTAAAAAATTATATTATATATTTTCGTATCGATATTAATTATAACACGTGATTTTTGTATAAAATATTATACAAATATATATTTTACACGAAACAATAATTGTCAGGCCAACTCTAAATTCTTATTGTTGACATACAACAACTTTTTTGAAAAAAGAAAAGAAAAGGCCTCTCGGTAAGATTGAAAGATGCAAAACAAGAAAGAGAGATGTGAGCAAATAAAATCTGATAGAGAATTTCAAAATTTACTACATACCTTTAATTATCTATAATATCAACCTCTTGGACGTGTGCAATTTTGTGCCAATCTGCACCCCCATCTCGTCGGCATCTTTCACTCAAGACCGGACATCCTCTAATTTCTAGTTGTCTGAGTTCAGTAAGGCGATCCATTCCCTCCGGAAGAGATGACAAGTTTAGGCAATGACTGATCTCAAGTTTATGAAGTGAAGTGAGATTTTGTAGCCACGCTGGTAGTACCTCAAAGTTGTTGCACAAGCCAATTTCTATATGCTGCAAAGTGGTAGAAGATCCTTCCAGAAGCAATCGTGGCAAATATGTCAAGGCACCTGACCTCCATACTGAGAAAGTTCTAAGGCTCAACTGAAGGTCTTTATCTTTTTCCTCTTCTGGTTCCATTTGTAAATTGATTACACGGCAACCAAGTATGTAAAGGCCTTCTAATTTGGTTAGGAATTTCAGGCTTCGTGGCAATGAGACAAGTTTATAACAACGAAACAGACGAAGTGCTCGAAGTGATGTGAGGAACTGCATTCCTTCAGATAAACATTCTAGATTATCACAGGAAGACAAGGTTAAGTATTGAAGAGAACTCCAACATCCTGGTCGAATTTCTTTCAAATGCTTAGCTCTAATGGTTTTTTCCAGATATCTGAGCTCAATCAAGCTTTGCATGCTGTCAGGCAACTGCATCAAAGGAACACCCTCCATTGTTAACGTTAGCAAGCTCCGTAGCTTATAGAAAGAACGAGGAAGTTTTCTTATATTATAACATTGATTCAAGTTAAGATATCGTAAGTGCTTCAAGTTACCAATGGAATTTGGTAAGGCCCCCAACGATGAATTACTTATATTAAGTTCCCGTAGATACTTGAAATTTGAGACACAAAAACTGATAAAAGATTTATCAATAGTATTTAGTCCCTCTGAAGTCTCTGGCACAATTACAGTTCGAACATTTTTTAGTTTCTTCAAAATTTGCGGAACTTTTAGCGGCTTGTCCTCGCAAAATGATAAATGTCGAATTTTTTCCTCAACATTTTCTGTTTGGTAATTCACTGTTTTACACTCTTTTTGTGACACATCTAATGCAAGATCATGTATCAAATCATGCATTTTAAAGTTAAAACCGAAGCGGAAATCCCCAACCTTCTGGATGAGGCACCTCGACAGTAACTCATTCAAATAGCGCCTCCCAACATGCTCCCACTCTTGCTTTTGCTTTGAATACTCAAGCAGTCCATTTGCCATCCAAAATTGGATGACATCATAACTAGTATAGATTTGATCCTTTGGGTACAAGGACAAAAATGCAAAACATCGTTGCAAATGAGACGGCAAATGGTTGTAACTCAACTTCAACACTGGTAAAATATCATTTTCACTTTGCTCAAGTCTCCATATTTCATCATCTCTAACAGAGATCCAATCGAATTCATCAGTTTTTGAAAAAAGTAGGCTCCCCAATGTTCGCACTGCCAAAGGAACCCCTTTGCATTTTTTTACAATTTCTTCTCCGATTCTCATGAGATTTGGATGCTGTCTCTCATCACCATCATTAAATGCCCATTTCGCAAACAAAGTCAAGCATTGTTCAGGAGGGAGACCATCCAATTCGTAAGGGTGTATTGAACTCATTATTTTGGCAACCTTCCGACTCCTAGTAGTCACAATGATTTTACTTTGAGAAGAGTCACCCATTGACTTCAATAAATTTCTTAACTCAATCCATCTCCCACGATCTTCATTCCACACGTCATCTAGGATGAGCAAAAACTTCTTATCATTCAAAAGACTTCGCAAACAGGTTTGCAAGGCCTGAACTGTTGAAACATCACATTTTTCTTCTTTATTTATGGAGTGAATAATAAGCTTGAGCAATCTAGTAAGATTAAATTCCTCTGAAACACAGACCCATATTTTCGATGGGTAAAGTCTAGTAACCCGATCATCATCATATACGAATTGAGCGAGTGTGGTTTTCCCTAGACCCCCAATTCCAACTATGGGAATGACAAGGAGGTTTCCAGCCTCACTTGGATTTGTCAAAAGTTTGATAATGTTCTCTTTATCCACATCTCTACCAATGACATCAGAAGAATTCACAGAAGAATAAGTCTCCCTGTGAATAACATGTCGTTTATCCCCTCCCTGTCCTACATTAAAGCTGTTCCACTCAGTGGCAAGTTTGTCTAACGTCTGATGGATCTCTCTGATTTTATGACCCACTTTTAAAGAGAATGAAAGTGGGAAAGAGCAAGAAGCCAAAAATCGTACCTTTATGCTGATGCTTGGATGATTCACAACCTGTTTCCGTATAGCTTCACACTCGAATTCATCAAGCACATCTTCGGCATCACAAAAGATGTCTCTGAGCTCCCACATACAGAGGCGTAACTTTTCATTCTGCTGCTGCTGCCGCTCAGCATCCAAAAGCACAGCTTTAATGCTGCTCATGGTCTTCTTCAGCTTTCTCAAATCACATTTGACATTAAACGCCAAGTGAAGTTCATCTACAGCGAGTAGTTCTAGTTTCTGCAGAACCCTTTCTGCAATATCGAAGAGAAATGATGCCATAATTGAACTCCAAGAGCACTGCAAGGAAGGATAAATGAAAGGCGACCTGAAATTGTTTTAGGTAAACAAAGGTAATCAAGCGCTCAAAAGTATTTTTTCTCAGCAATATATCGTGTGGTGCTCTTTATGGCTTTTTCTAATCCTGTTCACCAACTAATATATATTTTAATTGGACAAAAGAAAAATATCTTTTTGATAGTTGATTTCCCGTCTTCGGGGACGCCAGTCTTTTTTTATATTGGACTTTTTTTTTCAGTAACTTCTATTCTATATTCGTACAAAACAATATCTTCTAGATTGTTGGATTTGTCGCCAGAGCAATATTTGTACATAATAATGCAGATATGAATCAAACATCCTTTCGATTGGACATTTTGCAGTCTTAATTCCATCTAATTTAGAGCTTTATAACAAAAGAATCTGATAACCCAAAGTTGATGCATTTCTCTGTCTCAGTCGGAATCAAAGAAACCACTGTCTTTCATCTGTGAGTAGTATGCATGTCTTCCTCCTAGACAAATGTAAAAGATGAAATATTGTAAAGCTTTGCTAAAAATCAATTAACAAGATGGAATTATTACTATGAATCTGAAATAAAAACTACCAAGATTGGAGGGAGGGGAGGAGTGTTAGGAAAATGGGGTCCAGTCCCATGTAAGTGGTTTTGGACCAAGTAAAGGCCATGGGCCTTGATCTTTTATTTTACACAGAGCCCTAGCTACTTAATAAAAAAAGAGGTGGGGTTGTTTTGTGTGTGTGTCGAAAACCAAGCAGAGAAAGAAGAAAAGCCAGGAAAAGCAGAGAGAGAAAAAGGAGAAGGGAGAGTTGGTTGAACGGAAGTCGATCCGTGGTCCGATTGAGTTGGAACCTTGTCAGGAGGTTTATGATTCAGAGTTTTACATTCTGAACGGTGAAGATCGGGTTTGAAGCTCTCTAGGAACAAATCCAGGGTGTATTTGTTGAGTCACTTATTTGGTGAGATTTCTCCAATTGTTTCTCTAGTTGTTGATTAGCTCTAGTTTTAGCTAGAGAAGAACTTTGTATAACTATTATTTGATAGTGAAGATTTTTCTGGCGGCCCGTGGTTTTTTCCCTCTACACTGGAGGGTTTTCCACGTAAATCTTGGTGTGCTTTATTTTTCCTGCGCATTTGATTATTGATTGTTGTCTATTGCTTCTGTATTGTTGTGATTATTGCTTCAGGCGCAACAAGTGGTATCAGAGCGAGGGTTATTTTTGAGACATCGATACAGAAGCAATCCAGGATAGAAGTAAATTCTGTTTGAGATCATGGAGGGTGATACAGGTTCCATGATAAAATTGACAGCATCAAATTATTCAATTTGGAAGCCTATGATGGAGGATCATCTATACTGCAAAGATTTGTATGAGCCAGTATTGGGTGATTCGGCTAAACCAGCAGATATGAAAGATGAAAGCTGGAAGAAGCTAGGTAGAAAGACGCTGGCTACAATCAGAAAATGGGTTGATATCAGCGTGTTCCATCATGTAGCGCAGGAATCGGATGCTCACATTGTTTGGGAAAAATTGGCAGCATTGTATGAGAGAAAAACAGGTATGAATAAAGTTATGCTTGTTAAAAAGATTGCAACTTGTAAGTCTAAACATAAATCTAAGTTTAGAGGTAAAGTGAAGTGTTTCCATTGTGGTAAGGCTGGTCATATAAAACGAAACTGTAGAATCTTAAAGCAAGAGCGAAAAGATGAGAAAGGCAAGAGTTCAGATGATGGCAATGTTGCAGCAGTGAATTCAGATAGTGATTCAGTTACTTTGATTTGTACACATGGTGATTGTAATCATGTTAGTGATCCCGGCATTGAGTGGATAGTTGACACAGGAGCGGCATATCATTGTGTTCCTAAGAGAGAGTTGTTTACAACTTACAAAGCAGGAGACTTTGGTTGTACCAAGATGGGAAACAAGAGTGTGTCGCAGATTGTTGGGATTGGTGATATTGGTGTACAAACTAGTACAGGCTGCATGTTGACTTTAAGGGATGTCAGACACATTCCAGATATGAGAATGAACTTGCTTGCTATTAATGTCCTTGATAAGGAGGGATATGAAAGCCGACAAAAGAATGGACAGTGGAAGCTTCTCAAAGGATCTATGGTAGTTGCAAAGGGAAAACTATGCTGCACAATGTATAAGACATGGATGCAATTGAACGGTAACCAGGTAAATACCGTTGAAAATGATGCTTCAGCAAACTTGTGGCACAGGAGGCTGGCACACATGAGTGAAAAAGGGTTACAGGTTTTGGCAAGGCACTCTCTCATTCCCTTGACCAAAGGTATGTCTCTCGATTCATGTGATTATTGTTTGTTTGGTAAGCATCATAGAGTTTCTTTTCGTAAAAGTTCTCAGAGAAAAGAAAATAGATTGGAATTAATTTATTCTGACGTATGTGGTCCCATTGAGGTTGAGTCATTAGGTGGTAGCAGATATTTTGTTACTTTTATTGATGATGCTTCACGTAAGACTTGGGTGTATATGTTGAAATATAAAAGTCAGGTACTGCAGTATTTTCAAAAATTTCATGCCATGGTTGAAAGGATGACAGGGTTACCCTTGAAGTGTATTCGAACTGATAATGGTGGGGAATACACATCTAAAAGCTTTGAAGAGTATTGCTCAAAGCATGGGATCAGGCATGAGAGGACAGAACCTGGAACACCGCAGCATAATGGTATAGCTGAAAGAATGAATCGCACCATTGTGGAAAAAGTCAGATGTATGTTGAGGATGGCAAAATTACCAAAGCCATTCTGGGGTGAAGCAGTCAACACAGCTTGTTATTTTCTTAACAGATCACCATCAGTTCCTTAAGGCTTTGACATTCCAAAAAGAGTGTAGATAGAAAAAGATGCTTCAAACTCTCACTTGAAAAGTTTTTGAGTGTAAAGCATTTATGCATGTATCGAAAGAGCAGAGGTCAAAGCTTGACAGTAAAGCTACACAGTGTGTGTTTGTAGGATATGGTGATGAGGAATTTGGCTACAGGGTATGGGATCCAGTAAAGAGAAAGACAGTCAGAAGCAGAGATGTGGTCTTTCATGAAAAAGAAACCATAGCAGACCTTGAGAAAAATGAGAAGACTACACGAGTTACTGTTGAGTGTGATGTTTCAACACCGACAGAGATTTCACAGGAAAGAGCCACAGATGGTGAAAATGAGCCAGAAACAGAACTTGGGGATATGAATGAGCCAGCCATAGTTGGTGATGAGCCAGATGCTATTAGTTTTGAGCAGGGGGAGCAATCCTCTCTACCTGAGAGTGTTGAGCAGGGGGAGCTACCTTCAGGATCAAGTGATGTAGAGTCTCAGCCCAGAAGATCTACTAGAGAGCGCAGGCCATCTACCAGGTATTCAAGTTCAGATTTTATTTTAGTTACCAGTGAAGGGGAGCCAGAAAGCTTTCAAGATGTGCAGGCTACTCCGGATAGAGAGCACTGGTTAAAAGCAATGAAAGAAGAGATGGAGTCATTGCGAAAGAATGGTACTTATGATCTTGTTAAACTTCCAACAGGAAAGAGGCCATTAAAGAATAAATGGGTGTTCAAGTTGAAAAAGGATGGTGACAAACTAGTGAGGTACAAAGCTCGATTGGTAGTAAAAGGTTTTTCTCAAAAACCAGGCATCGATTTTGATGAGATTTTTGCTCCAGTTGTAAAAATGAGTTCTATTCGAGTGGTACTGGGATTGACAGCTAGTTTGAATCTTGAACTTGAGCAACTTGATGTTAAAACTGCATTTTTGCATGGTGATTTGCAGGAGAACATTTATATGAATCAGCCTGAGGGTTTTGAAGTGAAAGGGAAAGAGCACTTAGTTTGCAAATTGAAGAAAAGCTTGTATGGCTTGAAACAAGCTCCACGACAGTGGTACAAGAAGTTTGATTCTTTTATGGTGAGTCATAGCTATAAAAGAACAGCAGCGGATTCTTGTGTGTATGTTAAACAATTCTCTAATGGTAACTTCATTATCCTATTATTATATGTTGATGATATGTTGATTGTAGGACAAGATGCTAGTATGGTTTGCAGGTTGAAAGAACAATTGTCTAAGTCTTTTGATATGAAAGATTTAGGTCCAGCAAAGCAGATTCTTGGTATGGACATTATCCGGGATAGGAGAGCTGGAAAGCTGTGGTTGTCACAGGAAAAGTATGTTGAACGAGTGCTTGGTAGATTCAACATGCAACATGCTAAATCAGTTAGCAGTTCACTTGCCAACCATTTTCACCTAAGTAAGAAATCTTGTCCAGTGTCTAAGGAAGAGCAACTAGCTATGTCTAGTATTCCTTATTCTTCTGCAGTCGGTTCTTTAATGTATCTTATGGTTTGTACAAGGCCTGACATTGCTCATGCAGTTGGTGTAGTGAGCAGATTTCTTTCTAATCCAGGGAAGGTTCACTGGGAAGCAGTGAAATGGATTTTTAGATATTTGAGGGGTACCTCAAAAATGTGCTTGACTTATGGAGTTTCACAACCAGTTCTAGAAGGGTTTACTGATGCTGACATGGCAGGCGATCTTGATGGTAGGAAATCTACTTCAGGGTATTTGTTTACTTTTGCAGGAGGAGCTGTATCTTGGCAGTCTAAGTTGCAGAAGTGTGTTGCTTTGTCAACTACAGAGGCTGAGTATATTGCAGCAACTGAAGCATGTAAAGAAATGCTTTGGATGAAACGTTTTCTTCTTGAATTAGGGTTGAATCAGAAAGAGTATGTGGTATTTTGTGATAGCCAGAGTGCTTTAGATTTGAGTAAGAATACCATGTACCATGCTAGAACAAAGCACATTGATGTTAGATATCATTGGTTACGTTCAGTGATTGAAGAACAGCAGATGCTATTGAAGAAAGTCCATACTGATAAAAATGTGGCAGATATGTTGACTAAGATACTTCCCAGGGAAAAGCTTGAGCTTTGTAGTAACTTGGCCGGAATGAGTTCCCTGGCCAAGGTAAGTTCCAAATGAAACTGCTATGGTGATGAATCTCCTCCTAATGGGGCTGGAGGGGGAGATTGTTAGGAAAATGGGGTCCAGTCCCATGTAAGTGGTTTTGGACCAAGTAAAGGCCATGGGCCTTGATCTTTTATTTTACACAGAGCCCTAGCTACTTAATAAAAAAAGAGGTGGGGTTGTTTTGTGTGTGTGTCGAAAACCAAGCAGAGAAAGAAGAAAAGCCAGGAAAAGCAGAGAGAGAAAAAGAGAAGGGAGAGTTGGTTGAACGGAAGTCGATCCGTGGTCCGATTGAGTTGGAACCTTGTCAGGAGGTTTATGATTCAGAGTTTTACATTCTGAACGGTGAAGATCGGGTTTGAAGCTCTCTAGGAACAAATCCAGGGTGTATTTGTTGAGTCACTTATTTGGTGAGATTTCTCCAATTGTTTCTCTAGTTGTTGATTAGCTCTAGTTTTAGCTAGAGAAGAACTTTGTATAACTATTATTTGATAGTGAAGATTTTCCTGGCGGCCCGTGGTTTTTTCCCTCTACACTGGAGGGTTTTCCACGTAAATCTTGGTGTGCTTTATTTTTCCTGCGCATTTGATTATTGATTGTTGTCTATTGCTTCTGTATTGTTGTGATTATTGCTTCAGGCGCAACAAGGAGATCATAATGGTTGCAGATAAATGATTACCTGGAAAAATTCTGCCAGAAAAGTTTTTTACAGCAGAGAAAGGTACAAGGCATAGTCGCACACAATTGTGGCAGTATACAATTAGGTAAATAGCCTAAAAGAGGGAAAAAAAAACCCATTGAAATATTGATATCATATGATATAATGCATTGATACAAAAATGTAAACAAGAACTCAAAGTGGTAAAAAGACAAAAAGGAATAACATTATGTGTCTTTAAATTTTAGAAGATAAAAAGAACTTAAGTATCTATATGAAATAATACTTCACATCTAGATTGCTAAATAAGTCAAAGTATGTCACGATCTAAAAATAGCCCGCATGGAATGAAAACTGTGCTATGGAATTATGAATACTAAAGTTCAGTGGGGAAGATTGTCATGTCCTTCCATCTCCATCTTATTCGTGATATACATGTAAAAATAAAGATAAGATTGATTTTGATAAAATTAAATAATAATAATAATAATTTTTATAATTATGATTAAAAAAATTTTAATAAAAATTTTATATTAAATAAATTTTGTTTAACTTAATATTTAAATTTAATTAATGATACGATAAATTCAATCGTACCATATTAAAAATACGATAAAATCGAAATCTATCTATAATCAACAATAAATATTTTTATAATTCCAAGGAAGTGTCACATCTAATATATATATATATATATAAATAACAATATACATAAATAAATTTGTCATATGGATGCCTATATAGATAACTCTCTTAAATGACACATATGATAATTTTTTAAAAAATACGATAATTTCTTTTAATTACAAATTAGATAATTTTAAATTTATTCAAATTATAATTGAAAATCAAATTAATTTAGAGATATATTTTTTAAAATAAAAAATATGAAATATGTATTTTACTTTTTAATAAATATTTTAGTTGTTTACTAAATAATCTTGCTTAAAAAATTATTTAATTATCAAAATCTTGTTTAAAAATTATAAAAATTAAGTTTATCTAAATCTTTCAATAATCTTTTTTATTTTGAATTAAAAATTATCTTTTTAAAAAATTTACGTAAGACATTAAAAATTCAAACAGTTTTATGTAAGATTTTAAAATTTTAAAAATTTTTATTTTAAAATTTTAAATAATATGATCATCAAAACCATTATATCCATTTGAACTCTAACTATTAAATTTATAGTTAAAATAAATGCAAAAAATTTAATATTATCTTTATAACTTATTATATCTATTTTAAAATTTAAAAAATTAATTTAAAATCTATCTATTTAATCCTAATTACAACTAAAAAATTCTTTTACAAATTTAAAACAACAAATATAATGTGTTATACATCAAATTTTTTTATTTTTTCAATACCTTTTTTTCAAGATATATTCTATTACTATTGTACTTTTTTTTGCTTATAACTTTTTTTCAAGATATATTTTATTGTTATTACAGTTTCATTCTTATAAAAAAAATATTTTTTCCAAGATATTTTTTTTACATATTTTCTAATATTCTTCATATTTTGCATAATAATTTAGTCAAAATTATTAAAGTGAAAATATGTTAATACTTCTTTTATTATTTAATTTATCATTTAATAATATATATTTTTATTTTTTTAAGAAAAGCATAAATTATTTTTATTTGATATAATCTTACTGGTGTATAAATATTATTATAAAACAAAAATATCTAAAGGAAAGATATAATTTTTTTTGCTATTTTTAAAAAATTTATTTTTTAATAACAAGTCAATATTTATAAATTTTATATATACTAATTTTAAATATTTAAATATAATTTTTAAAAAGCTAATTTATATATATTTATATTAAATAAATAAAATTAACGGGTTATAATCTAATTTGAGAATAAAAAAAATACCTTAAAAAATAAGTCCAGATCAACAATTAGCCCCGAAATAACAAATGTTCGTGTTAATGCTCCTAGTCTACTAGCATAATTTCCTTGAAGCAAAAATGCCACCAAGCTAACATCCAGAGCATTTGGCAAAAGCTTGTCATGTCATATTTTATCAAAAGTTTATAATTAATACTATACATTTATTAGTATCAAATTAACATATGTTAATTTTTTTAATCGCATTTGTAAAATTAAAAAAATTTATTATAAAATCACCCAGTCATTTTGTTTGCTTCTTCTTCAAGAAGAAAGAAGAACTAAACATGAAATAGTGAATACTTTACTCTTTTTCTCTTTTACTTATTTTTTTGGTATTTTCATGATTTCATCTCAAGGATTTGAATTATTGGTCATCTCTAACAAATTCAAGCCCATGATTTTTCAGGCAGGGAATGGAGAATTTTAATTTCTTAGCTAGTATCCATTAAAATTTAAAACAAAATTTGTTTATTTTTATTTTTAAAGAAGGAATCTTTATATTAATAAATTTTGTTTTATTCATAATTTGTTCTTATATTAAGAAATTTTAAAATAGTATTAATCATTGTTTATTAAATTTAATAATTAGCATAAAAAATAAAATTTATATTTGTTCACGAATTATTTTTTTTAATGGTTTTGTTCACTTATACATCTATATCAATCAAATTACTTTAATCCAATAATTGTGTATATTATTATTATTATGAAAATTATTCTAAGAAAATTCTTTAAAATTTTTAAAAGAGGGCAAATAAAATTAGCAAATAAACGTATTCATAAATTAGGTAGAGTCGAGTTTGAATTGATTTATTTTGGGTATTAATAATTTATTTATTTGTTTAAATCTAATTTGATTTAATATTTTGAATCTCAAAAAAAATTTTTAAATTCGATTCAAAGTAAAAAATAAATTTCAAATTCGCTCATTAATTTAATTTTATAATAAAAAATTTTAAAAAATAAAAATTCATATATAAAGAATTATAATGTTTTAATTATATATAATTTATTTGAATTGAATCGAAATAAACTTGAGTTTTAATTTTTTTATTTAAAATTTAAATAAATTTAAAAGTTATACACAAAATCATTTAATGAGTTTTAATTTATTATCTAAATCTTTTTAAAATTTAGATGAACTTTAGAACTTAAACGGGTAGCCCAACTTGAACAGATTTATTAGCAAACAACTAATTTGAGTTGAACCTAATTTCAGGTCAAAATTGGTTTCTTTAACAAATTAGAAAATCAAACAACCTTAATTAGCAAAAAAATAAAAAAACAAAAGACATGAATCAAAGGGTAAGGCCTACGTCAGCTGTCCCCACCTAAGACCTCCACGTCCGCTCTAATCCATTAAGCGTTTTCACTACACGCGCCCAAAATTCATAAAAAAAATAAGAGCTGCATAATAAAATTATAAAAAGGGAAATCTCCTTTAATTTTCTATCAATGCGAACTTCGAAACCTTTTTCTCCTTTTGGTTTCTGAAAATTCCAATTCATCGGAATAACAGCACCGCCGCTGCCCGCTTTACTTTCATTTTGGTTTCCCTTCAGAATTTCCTGACAAACAGACAAAACTTTTCTTATCAGAGCTCCCCAGTTGTTAATTCTTCTCCAACCAAACAGCGATTTGGGTAACTGTCCCTGAGTTTATCCATTTGCCTCGTTGTTAGCAAAAGAAAACCTACTTAGTGTCTGAAATCCTTTTAAATTTTTATTGGGATTATAGGGTTTAGAAAATTTTCATCTTCGAACTTTTAATCGGGTTTTGAGGAAAAATGATGAGAAGACAACAGCAAAATCATCGACATCAGGATCAGCTATCAAGGGTTTTCTACGAGCTGTCAGCGCTGGGGCTGAATCTTCTTCGATCGCCGCCGGTGCCGATGCCTTTCGCGGACCGACCACTGGATCCGGAGACGAGACCACATCCCCGATCGACATCGAGGACGAAAACGCCGGCGGGATTCGCTTGGCTGATGCTAGGGATATCGGTTTCCTTAATGCTGTGTGGATCAGTTACTTTCTTTATAGGGTTCATGTTGATGCCTTGGGTTCTTGGTTTGCTCATGGTTTTTTACGTTGCTGGGATTGTCTCCACGGTTTCCGTGTTAGGTCGTTCAATTCTTTGTTACGTCATGGCCCCTCCGTCGCCGCGAAAAGATATTCCTGGTAATTTGTTATTTTTTTATTAATTCTTTTTAAAAGTATTCTTTTTTTAAAAAATTAATCAATGCTGCATACATAGGTTGATTTGTCTTTGACATTTAATTTTGTCTTATGTTAGGACTTTTAACCTTTTTATTTCTTGGTTCGGAGCTTTCAAATCTCTGAGATAAATATGTCTTGTTTTTCTCTGATTGTCTGCTTTGGGCTTTTGCTTTTCTTTTCCTTTTTTTTTTCTTCTCTATTTTAATCTCTCTAGTTGGCATGTCGTGTTTGATTTTCGTAAAGAACTAGGGGAAAACGTGTTCCCTTTATTTTTAATTTTTTGGATTAATTGAAAAATTATTCATCTAAAAGAACAGAGAGAACATTACTTCTTAGGGTCACAGGAATTAAATCCCTTCAGTTCCTTTTTTTGCATTTTTATGGCAATACATATGATCTATTAGCCTTAGCTAAATGGTTTTTCACCTGTTCTGCTATGTGGCATTGGATATTTTAAAATGGAGGGTCGTTGCTTTTTTTGTTTTTTTTTTAAACTGGAATAGTGGTTAACTGGTTTTGAGAGGTGAGCACCAAACTTAGGAAAAGAGAATTTGCAGATAACCTGTGGAAATTCAATAAACAAGGGCACAGAGCTTAATCACAGCTCTCTTTCATGTAGTTTCTTTTATTATCCTTAAAACAAGAGGTAACTAAACCTTTTATTGGCTGAAATAACGTGATTGGCTGGATTTTGGAAGCCTCCGGGAGATCAGATTATTCTCCTGCATGTTATATTTGGAATATTCAGAATTTTGAATTAAGTTGCTTAGTCTAAGCAAAAGATGCTTTCTGGTTTGTCCAATCTTTATTTAACTTTATCCATAGATCTTTGGTGGATGCTTCTTGAGAACCTTTTATGCAACCAAATGAAGAACTTTTTCTTCCTATGACACCGGAAAACTTTGTTAAGAGTAAAAATATGTTTAAGAATGAATTAATAGGTTCATATGTTTGAAATATCTCCATGTTTTCTTTACTTTGTTGGTTAGAAGTGTAATGGATGCCTCATCTTCGTTCTTTTTTCTGCATCCATTGATATTATGGGTTTCACAAGTTCAGGATATGACAAGTACTGGTTTGCGAGCTTCTTTGACGAGTGATGGAATAGGACAATAATTAGTATTGACTTGTCTCGACATTTTTGGTTGATCAAATTTGGGTAAAGTTTGAAACAGACTGGCTCGGTTTGACTTTGTGTTTGAGCTTCAGATCTAACTCAAGAGATAAATTGAGCTTGAGGTTGAATGGTATGATGTTGGTTAAGGACTTAAGGTTGTAGTAGGTTCATGATTTCACATTGTTGACTGTTTTTGCAGTAAATGCAAATCGGCTTAATTGACTATGTTTTTATCTTACAACTCTGCTCTTCAGTTTTCATTTGTTGTCAGTTATGTCTTGCACCGTACAAGAAGTTTTCAAATGCTTGTTAAGAAACAATAGATTTCTGTTTGTGCTGCTAATATATCCTTGTTTGCATGAGACATCGTACTTTGATGGACAGACTGTTTTTTTGTTTTATTTTTCCCCCTCTTCAATCAATTAAATGTGTAACATTTATGAGGTTGCTGATAGATTCTTTTCATTCAAAACGATTTGGCATTGCAGCGTGGAAACTTTTGTGAAGAGAAAAGGTGGTTTAGACAGAGAGTTGGATAATACAATGGAGAATTAAGAGTTCTTGGGAGTGGTGAAGCATTTTGCTACATACCAGGAAAACAAATTTACCGGGATTCTTCGAGTATTAATGCAGGAAATGTGGATAATTCTTGCTTCAAATGTTACTGAAATATGTGGATATGGCTTCTTTGTCTAATAGAAGTAGTGACATCGAAGGATTTAACTGTCAATGTGTACTGTATTCTTATTTGCGAGAAGAAATGGAACTGCTGTTTCCAATTTCTTTTCTATATTCAGTTTCTATTGGGTAAGCCTCTGTTTTTTTCTTTCTTTTCTTTTGAACTGTTATATTGCCACAATATATATGATCTTAGATAAGGCTGGAGATAAAAGAAAAAGGAAACTTGGATGGAACATGGCATTCTTTCAGCTGAAAAGCAGTCGAGTTGAACACTATCTTGGTGTTTTTTGATCGCAGATTATTTTCAGTAAATTATGTAAAAGAAGTATTGGGACTGGACGGCAGGTTCCATGGACGATAAGGTTGGCTGGAGCTAGTGTGGCAGGGGCGGAGCTGCTTAATCAGGATCATCACTGGATGAATCAAACCATTTCAGGCAATGAATAATATAGTTTATTTGTTGCTTTCCCAACCAGTGCGCCGCCATCCCACTTCCGTGCCTCCCTCTCTTCTGTTGCTTTTCTAATAGGCATCGATATTCTTATCCAAAAACGGCAATTTAACAATATCTAAGGGACAAGCGTTCTGACAGTCAAAACAATGTCCTGATATGGTCAGTTAGTCAGGCAAGAACATAGATAATTCAATGTCTTATCAAAGGCAAAGACAAAATTGGAACCTACGGTGATTAAGCACACTTCTATTATTTGTCCAATCACTTCTATTGTTCTATAACTGTATCCCAAACACTCACATTAAAAGGAACAGATCGCATTCACAGTCAAAAAAAAAAAAAAAAAACAAAAAGAAAAGCAAACATCATTTTTCCAGGAGAAATACACTAACCAATCAGAAAGGTGACCAAAGACGCCAAAACGATCAGATCCTTGTACAAATGAAATACAAATCCAATAGATTTTGTCGAATTGTAAAAGTGGCTATCATCCATGTAGATGAGAACACCTATGGCTATGAGGAAGATTGTGATAAGTCCAAAGAACATTATGGTCTGGATAAGAATCGAAATCCCAAACTCCACGACTTTGTTCCTTCCAGCAACTGAAACAACAACCCTGGACTTGACATCATAAAAAGCACCATTGCTATCACCACCGGGCCCCAACCCACCATACTTTTCCAATCTTGACGAGTAAGGTATCAAAAAAACAAAAAGAAGAGAAACTTATATAGCTGATGAAGCAATGAAAAGATGGAACTCTGAGTTGTCGTCGAAAGGAGAAAAGCAAGGAAGGAATACGAGCAGTGTCGGAGCAGAGGAGTACATCTGAAGAGCAAGAAATCGGGTTATAGGCAAAGGCCAGCAAAACATACACATACATTGTGGCTTCTCGACAGATGCCAGTCAACAGCTACGTGGCTGCATTATGGACCATCTTCCATTTTGAACGACTGTGTAATTGTATGTATTTTCTATATAAAATCTTTTTATGATTGTGATTTCCTTTTTCTTTTTCTATTTTCCTTGGAAGAAATCCAAATTGTTGATTAACTTTGAATTAAGCCCTATAAAATCTAGCTGAAGCCTACATCAAAAGTTGGTGCATTATATCAGAAACTCCAAAGGCAAAGCCTGTCTAATCATTTTCTATGATTTCATAGCTGAGCTTTCGAAGAGCAAAATTTTTCCTTCTTAATTTCTTATTGATGTGCAATTGTGGTTGTAAATTCATTTAAAGAAAAGATTTTACCAGGAGATATAAGTTATAAAAAGAACCCTTTTAGAGCATTAGTTGATACAAGTTATAAATAGGAAGTTAGTCCAAAAAATATCTTGAAGAATATATGTGAATTTAGACCAATCGGTTTATTCCTTGGGAACATTTAAATGAACTACATGAAGAGAGCATCTCTCTTTTGTTCGTTGCCTGTTCCTAATTATTTGCTAGCCATGAAAAAAAAAAGAGACTATTCTTTGGCACATTTGGTCATGGAGGATGGAGCACATTACGGCAACCAGTCTAGAGTAGATATTCCCACCTCTCGAACCGAAGATAACTGACATGAAGCGATCCTTTTCATGGTCAGCTACATCACTGTTGAGGGAAGTTACACCCGTATTGCTTGCTTGAATCTCCGTCATTGCAGCATCTGATCTAGCTGGACTGACTAAGTCTGTGTGCTTACACGTTATAGAGGCAACCATGGTATCAATTTGAATAACTGAATGATTTAATAACCCGACTTCTCTTGTTTACAGTACATAGTCCAAACTCCAAAGAGATGTAATGGATTTTAAACTTGAAAGCTTTTGAATATTGGTTGTAGTCCGAACAGAAAGATTCATCTATCTGCAACACTTATTTTGAGCCTGTCAGGCGCTTGGAAAGATTTATCCTTCTTTTGGGAGTCGGAATGAGAAAAAAATTTAAGAAAATAAAAAATCAATTCAAAATCGTAATATGTATATTATATTTGAATAAGATTTCAAATCAAAAAGTAAAAAATAAAAAAAAAATTGAATCAAATTATATATATTTATTTTTATATATATATTTAAAATTTTTATAAAATAAAAATAATAATTTTATATTAAAATTTATTTAAATATATTAAAATTTTAAATTAAAATAATATATAAAAATAAAAAAATTTAAATTTTAAAAATGAATAAATCGAGTCAACTTGATAAAATTTAATTCAAATTTAAATTAAAATATAAATTTTTATATAATATTTAAAAAAATTAAATAAAATCTACTTTAATTCGAATAGTTATTATCTCATTGAAAAAAGAAAAAGTTCATAATGGAGTGGCATTGTTTGGATTCAGCCCAGACTTTTGAGAGTATAGACACTAGATGGGGCCAATGCAAAGTAGTACGTCCTTGTCAATGAAAGAAAAAATGAAAAAAAGGTTAACTCCTTCTGCAATCCAAATTTTCAAAAGCACCCAAAAACAACAGGCACCTGCAATTACGGAGGCCTCAAATAAATTCACTAGTCCTTTCGTTTACATCAACACAAAGAAACTTCCAGTCAATCCTACTTTTCAACTTGCACTATTTCTTTTAGCTTTCAAGGACAATGGAAATTGGTTAGGGAGCATGAGTTCCCGATCACCTAATCAAATTAATATCGATAACACTGAAACAAAAAGGTCCATTGTATGTACCTTACAAAATCACAATCTAACTCTCCCGCATGAAAAAAAAAAAAAAAATCCAAGACTCAAAGAGCTAGTAATTCATGTAGAAACGGATCACGTATGATGAGTGAGCAACATCGTTATACAGTATGTAATATGTTATTGTAATTGGACACTAGTTTTAAGCTTGTATTATGCACGGGTAAGCAAACAACTATAATATTCATTATATATAATACATTAATTTTTACAAATTTGCATAAATAAAATATTGGAAGGTTTATATTGGCATAATAAATACATGATTATATTTAACATACCTATTTTTTTTATAATGTTAAAAAGTCAAGTTTTGATTTCTATCAAATATTTAAAAATATTATGTAATTTCAAAATTTTAAAATATATATATATATATTATTATGAGGGAGTTGAATTTATATTAAAACCAAACTGTTGGCATTTTTATTTCAACATTGTATGTGTTTTTATTATAAAATTGATGGCATATCAATAGTATCTTAAAATATCTATTTATCTAAAAAAATTGAATTAACAATGCTATTTAAAAAAATATATAGAAGAATATAGGAAATTGGGTATAAAAGTTTCAATTATAGTTTTAATATTTCTAAAATTTTAGGATTTGTTAAATGAAATAAGTGGTAAATTTCACAAAATAAAGGATTTTGTTCCATTTTAATAAAATTTTTTAAATTACAATTTAACACCCCTTACATCATCTAAAACTTTGTTCACTGAAAACTTATAAAATAATTTTTTCATTTTCAATTGAATTCAATAGATGTTTAGTCAAGTCATAATCAATTATATCATTTTTTTATCAATTTGACTTATGATATAATATTTAAGAATCTTTATGATTTGGCTCCCAATTAATGCATAGTCGCACAACATGATAGCATTAAAATTAATCAATCATTTTTGTCATCAAATTGTAAAACTTTACAAATCAACATAATCTTATCAAGTAACCTCCTAAAATAAACCAAATTCATTAAGCCTATGTTAATTAATACCTTGTAAAAGAAAAGAATTTTTTAGTAACATCACATTTAACATATATATAGAAAATATCAAAGTTTCACTTTTAAATTATAAATTAGAAAAGAAGAAAATTATACTAAAATATATAGTTGTTAAAATTATTATTCTAAAAATAAAACCTAACAACTGCGCAAAAAAAAAGAGAGTAAAATCTCAATAAACTTATAAAAGAATAGCAAGCAAGACTACAAAATAAAATTTTTATAAGATAATAAAAGCAAAATTGTAATAAAACAAAGTTGGAGACTAGTCAAATTTGATTTGTTTAATATTCTTTTTGAAATAACATTTGTATTTATATTATTATAAAAAAATTATCGTAAATGTATTAAAAAGTTATTATTATTATTTGTCTAATGTAATAAGCAATAAATGACATAAAATTAATGCAATTTTTTCTTCAACATTATAAAATTTGATTTCTTACCTAATCTACTATCTTTTTAAAAGAAGAAAACATATTATTCCTTAACTTAATTATATCATTATTGTCAACTCATTAAATGGCTTATTTGTATTTCCTTATTTATCACACTAAATTTCATTCAAATTTTCATAGGTAATAAGAAAATATGGAAATATATTCATTAGTAATTAACTTTTTATTTAGTTTTTTTATCTATATTATTGATCAAATTAATTGTAACTTATTCATATAAGGTAAAAATATTGGATATTTAAAATGTAATAAATGTAATTAATTTAGTCTAACTAATTATTTTTTAAGTAATAAAAATGTTACTATAAAAAATAATAAAAAATATTTTAAATAAATAAAATACATTTATTAGAGAATTGGGTGATTGTAAAACCCATCCATATATGAAAAATATAAGTTATCCACATTAAATTATTTTTTTATCAAAAGTTTTGACCTTTAAATATTTATATAAGATAAACAAAAATAAAATTATTTATGTTGCCCATTCCTTTAGGAAGCGAACTATATTGCTTTTTTTTAATAAAGATGAGAGTGAAAAAACATGATTATTTTATTTATTACATTATTTTTCATGAGTAATTAGAAGATATGAAAATATATTTATGAGTAATTAATTTTTATTTAGTTTTTATTTTTATTTATATTATTGATCAAATTAATCTTAACTTATTCATATAAAATAAAAATATTGAATATTTAAAAAGTAATAAATGTAATTAATTTAGTCTAACTAATATTTTTAAATAATAAAAATATTTTGAATAAATAAAACTTATTAAAAAATAATTGATAATTTTTTAAATCTATCTATACATAAAAAATATAAATTATTTACCATAAATTATCTTTTGTACCTACATTTTTACTTTTTATGCATTTATGTAAGATTGTACATTATTGAACGGGTTCGATGATTGACGAATCAAAGAGTTGGCAGTTAGCACCTTTTGCACGTGTTTTTCGTTGTTAAAATGTCCTAAAAAAATTATTTGGAGCGTTATCTACGAGGACTGGCGATCACTAGCTATTTGCTTTGGTCAAGCCAAACGACCCTTTCGACTCAACTTCTTACAAATAAATAAAAATATTCTCCGTTAGCAATCAAAGCCATTGGAAAATTTCCCCTTCAATTCATCATCTCCACCGTCGGTTGTCAACGAATCAACTACTACAAAGACTCTGTCTCTGATGCGGTTGTTGAACGTCGCGAGCCAAAGGAAGTATCCGACATGAGTAGGCTGAGACAGCCGAGAATCTTTTAGTTGCAGCTGCCGGCAATTTATCTCACACTGGGTCTGAGCATGTTAAGTGGAGGGTCTCGTTCCTGCAGACTTAACGGACTATAACTGCTCAAAACTAGCCACGTCATGAAAGACCCAACTCAACATTTCATACGGGCACCTGCAGATTCCGGCGCAGCTTCGTGCCTCGAGTGATTCCACGAAACAAGGCCCCGCCGTACAGCAGCGTAGAAAATTTTGAAGTCAAAATTCCAATCCCCTCTCTTTTTGTATGACTTACTGTTTAGACTTTAGAGCTTAGACTTTTAACCCGGTTCAAGTGTGATCATCCCCTCCAATAATTCCTTCCTTATTCCGGCCTCGGTAATTCCTATTTCGACCGGACCTTTGACTTCAGCTTCGTTTCGTCTTTGGTCCAGTAAAAGTCTCCGGTACAAATGACCACAATCGCATCTTATCCTCAACAGTTTGTTTGATTTTGAATTTCTTATAGGAATTGAAGATGGCGCAATCAGGTAAAAAAATAATAATATTTTGTTTTTGAATTTCTCTTTTTTCTGTTTAAGTTAGATTATATCTGATTTAGGGTTTTATCTAAATTGTAATAATTTAAAGAGAAATTTGTTCCTTTTTTATTTCAATAATAATCTCAGGGTATGATATTAATAATCTATTTCGAGAAGCTCAATCTCGGTGGTTGAAGCCAGCGGAAGTACTCTTTATACTTCAAAATCATGAAAAGTATCAACTCACGCAGGAGCCTCCTCAAAAGCCAACAAGTAAACCCTTTAAGTTGAACTTCAAATTTCGTTAATTTTAATTTTAATGCCATATTTACATGTTTAAATGTCACTATTGTGAACTGGAAAATTTTTTTTTCCTAAATAGGTGGCTCTTTGTTTCTTTTCAACAAGAGGGTTCTTCGTTTCTTTCGCAAAGATGGTCACAATTGGCGTAAAAAGAAGGATGGAAGAACTGTCGGCGAAGCTCATGAAAGGCTTAAGGTTTTGTCAAACACCCCCTGCATTTTATTTATTAGCCTTTTACTTGTGATATCTTCTGTGTTGTGAGATGCAATTTCTGTAAAATGTGTGTGTGTGTGTGTGTTTTATTTAGAAAATGAAGGAACCACTTGAATTCTGGGAACATATCATAAAGGAAAAAAATTGGCTAATTTATTGATTTAAAATAAACTCTTGCTGCATATCAAACATATATGTGAAAAAATTAAGAAATAAAACTGTGTGAAAAACTAAGAGTAAAACTAAATGTATATTGAAAAACTTCTCATAATGAATTATACAAGCACCTTAGGTTTATATACAATTAACTACTGGGTAAACTAGGAAACTAAATCTTCCTAAAACTAATCCTATAATTGAGGGATTGCCTATCCTAATTTTTTATCATTAATTCTAGGGATACAAATACTTAATTATAGAGATACAAACATAAATATACAGATTACAAGATTACAACTAGCTAAGTGTTTTCCCACACTCCCTCTCAAGTCGATGAATAGGTGTTTTTCATTCCCAACTTAGAAATAATTTCTTGAAATGTTGCACTGCTGGGACCTTTAGTCAACACATATGCAAGTTAACCCTTGGTTGATACATACGAAGTAAAAATCAACCCACTATCTAGTTTATCCTTTATGAAATGCCTATTTACTTCAATGTGTTTTATTTTGTCATGTTGTGTAGGATTGTGTGCAATACTTATTGCAGACTTGTTATCACAGTAGAGTCTTATTGGTTCATCCCACTTGATCTTCAAGTTTTCTAAGATAATCTTTAACCATAGTGGTTCACGAAATTCCTTAAGCCATTGCTTTGAACTCTGCTTCAGCACTTGATCTTGCCACTACATTCTATTTTTTACTTCTCCAAGTCATAAGATTACCACCTAGGAAAGTGCAATAGCTTGAGATGGTTCTTATATCAGTCATTGAACCTACATAATCCGCATTTATATGTGTCTCTAGAACCAGTTCCGAATATCTTTTAAATAAGATACCTCTCCCAGAATTGGCCTTCAAATAGTGCAGTACACGGTAGACAGCTTGTAGGTGCACTTTTTTTAGAACTATACATAAATTGACTTATCACACTCATAGCATATGCTATATTAGGTCTAGTATGTGAGAGATAAATGAGTCTTCCAACTAATTTTTAGTACATTTTTCTATCTACAGTAGCATCTTAATTAGCTTATCCAAGTTTATGATTAGGATCTATAGGGGTATTTGCAGGTTTACATGTGAGCTTCCCAGTTTCCTTCAAAAGATCCATTACATATTTCTGTTGTGAGATAAAAATACCATGTTCAGAGTGAGCTACTTCAATTCCTAGGAAGTACTTCAATCTCCTTAGCTCTTTTATCTCAAATTCTCTTGCCAAATATTGTTTTAGAGATTCTCTCTCTTTTTCATCATCTCTGGTTACAATTATATCATCAACATACACTAATAGAATTGTGACTCTCCCTGAATCAGAGTGCTTGATAAACAATGTGTGGTCTCCTTGACTCTGCTTATATCCTATTGCTAGCATCACTTTGGCAAATCTCCCGAATCAAGCGCTAAGAGATTGTTTAAGGCCATATAAAGCCTTTTTCAGCTTGCATACTTTGGTTGCTTTTATATGACCTTCAAATCACGGTGGAACCTTCATATATATTTTTTCTTCCAAATCACCATATAGAAAAGCATTCCTTACATCAAATTGTTGAAGCTGCCAATTGTAATTTGCAGCCAATGATAACAAAATCCTAACTATATTCATCTTGGCAACTAGAGCAAAAGTTTTCTAATAATCCACTCCATAAGTTTAAGTATAGCCCTTAGCCACCAACTTGGCTTTATACTTTTCAACAGTACCATCCGCTTTGTATTTTACAGTAAAAACCCATTTACGCCTAACTGGATTTTTTCTTTTAGGCAACTTTACCAGTTCCCATGTATTATTTTTCTCTTAAGGCCTATTTTCATGGCTTCCCTCCATTTCTCACTAGATAATGTCTTAGATAATGTAGTTGGAATAGAAATAGTATTTAGGTTCACAAGGAAATTTTTGTGGGATGGTGAGAATTTTTCAAATCACACATACTTAGAGATTGGGTATAATGGATGCTTAGTACATTCTCTGGTTTCTTTCCTAATGGCTATAGGCAAATCATAATTACTAGTTATAATTTTAGGAGATTCATGCTCATTTTGAGAAACAAAGTCAAAGTATGTAGTTGTCTCATTTCTAGAGTTAGGATCAGGTTCTTAGACTTGTACTGGTTTAGGATCTGGAACTTTTCTTCTTGAGTACACCTATAATTCCTTCATAGAATTAAGAACAATATTATCTTTTGTCACATCTTCTATGTTTAGAATGGGTTCAGACTCAAATTTAGTGTTTGACTTGGACTCAAAAGAAACAGGTTTAGACTTAGAAGAATTAATGGGTGAAAATGTTAAAGAGAAGGGCAAGTCAAGCAAAAAGAAGTTTTTATCTTTATCTTCCATGAATGAAGTCTCCCTCTGAAGATAAGTTTGAGTGAAAAATGGTTTACTTTATTCAAAGGTAACATCTGTGGACACAAAATTTTTTGGTAAGAGGATGATAACCTAAGATTTAAATAGCAACCTGGTAGTGGTTTAACGCTGTTGTCCACCACCGCTACTGAAGAAAAAACGGATGAGAATGCCGATCATGATGGTTGCGGCCTATCGCGGACGTGAAAAGCTGTGTAATGGTCAATAGCAGTGATAACGGTCCATTATTGCCCGCTACTTCGATTTCCATCCAAAAAATATATAGAAAAATGAAAACAAAACCATTATGCCTGAGTAAAATTAAGAGGTTTTCATCCGAGAAAAACCCAAAAAAGAAAATAAATACAGTCTCAGTCAAACTCAAACACTAAGTTACGATAAGCATAATCAACTAATTAAAGGTAAGCATTGCAATTTAACTTAAAATTTCTTTTTTATTTCTGGAATTTTTGCAAAAACTGTGTTTGTAAACTGGTGAGTTATATAGTGAGATCCATCTTGAAAAAACTGAAGTTGGCTGCACTAATACTTGGGCCTAAAGTGAGAAGGACACGACTAGGTGATTGGAGCCCTTTGTTTCTAGAGGGAGAAAGGGATAGCCGATTGAAGCTTTCAGGTTTCAGGAGAAAAGAAAGAAGATGAAGGATAAAGAAGGAGAAGAAGAGAGACTGTGTTTGGAGCTGGACAGCGAACAGAGCATTACTAGTAGAGGGAACCTAGAGGTTGGAACTGGAGTTTCAGGCTTGGAGGGAGGAAAGGAATGGTGCCGTTGGTGAGAGAAGAAAGATAAGAGAAAGAACAAATGGATTAAGGTTTTATGATTTTTTATTCATACCTAAGAACGTAAGTTTTGGGATTAAAGAAAAAAAATGTAAAGAATTGGATGGATCTTGGCCTTGCATAGTAAATTTTGGCCCAATAGATGACAAGCTATTTGATTTATAGACTTATTGGATCCTTTAGACTTTACATTAAGACTTTAATAAGTTTTTATTTGTATATTTATTTTTAGTTCTTGTTAATAATATTTTTAAAAATGTTTATAAAAACAAATAAATTATGAATGATTGTATTTATTGTTAAAATCTTTTTTATTATGAAATATTTTTAAATGACATATTACATTATTAATAAATAAAGTAAATTGGAATCATTGATGATAAAATTCTAAGAAAATTTAGGTATTGATTCTATTAAAATTTCTAATAAGAAGAATCTTTAATACAAAAGTCCCTCATTTACTCCCAATGTAATATTAGTATATATGGATCCTTGACATTTAATATATTTTATTTTATTAGTTATTAATATTGATAAAAATTCATAGTTAAGAATGAGTACTTTTCTAAATATGAATATTTTACTATAATGACATAAATTATAAATATTTTTTCATATAAATAAATGATCTTAGTGAGACATAAATTACTTTAAAAATCATTAGAAAGGAATTTTTACGATCATAAGTATAATTACTATGTTTTACAATAAATTGTGCAAAATTAAAAAAATTTCTCGACCGCAATAATCGCAATAGCAACCGTTACATTTGCAATAGCAACCGTTACATTTGCAATAGCGATAAACGTAACGTAATTGAAAATGTGATTACAGTAGCAATTTAAATCCATGATGATAGCACTTATACTTTTCTGAGTTGATGAATACCTAAAAAAAATGCACTTAATTGCTCTAGGATCCAATTTTCTCCTATTATGATTGTGAACATGAACAAATGATGTACAACCAAATGTCCTAGATGTGAGGTTGTTTGTGGTATTAAAGTTGGGATAAAATTTGTGAGAATAGTTCTATAGGAGTTTTAAATCCCAAAACCCTTGAAGGTAACCTATTTATAATGTGTTTGGCATTAAGAACAGCTTCCCCCTAGTAGGATTTGGGTACGTTTGCTTGAAAAAGTAAAGCTCGGGTTGTAGCTAGTAAATGGTTGTTTTTCCTCTTTGCCACTCTATTCTGTTGTGGAGTATTTACACAATATAACTCATGGATAATCCCCTCCTTTCGGAAATAGGTAGATAAACTCTGATTGAAATAGTTGCTTGTATTATCATACTTAACTCTCTTGATTTTCACTCAAAACTGATTTTGGATCATGTTTTGAAAGCTTAAAAACTAACTTTTCACATTTGATTTGAATTTAAGTAAAAATATCCAAGAGACTTTGGTACAATTATCTATGAAAGAAACAAACCACCTTGTACCAAAAATATTAGGAATTGTAGAGAGACTCCATATGTCACCATGAATCAAGTAAAAAATAGTAGAACTTCTTTTATTGCTAATTGGAAAAGACAGACGTTTATGCTTTGCAAGTTTACAAATATCACAATGAAAAGTTTCAACATTTAATTCTTTAAACAAAGAAGGAAACATATTTTTCAAAGTTCCAAAAGAAGGATGTCTAAGACGAAAATGAAAAATCTAGATTTTGTCTCTATTGGGAGAGTTTTCAGAAAGAAATGACAAAGGTAAACTATTTTTTGATATTACTTGTATTGTTTGATGTCTCAAGATAGTATAGTCCATCATTCTTCTTAGCAAGTTCAATCCTTTTTCTCGAACTCTAGTCCTAAAATTCATAATAAGGGAAATAAAAAGTCATTTTGCAATTCATATCTCGTAAGTTTTTGTATAGATATCAGTTTAGTAGACAATCCAGGAACATGAAGAACATTTTTAAGAACAAATGAGGGATTAATTTGAACATCTTCTAATCTTGTCACTGTAGTAAGTGAACCATTTGTAACAACAATTTTCTTATTACTAGGACACGGTATATGTGCTAAACTTCTGCGAGGAATGTGTCATATGGTTTGTGGCTCCTAAGTCAATGACCCAAGAACTCGTAATAAGGTTAATCGAGACATTTAATCCATGAGAAGAAAAAGCTTTACTTGAACTAGAGAGTTTACCCAATGAACATACCCCAGCAGGCTTTTCAAGAGTTTTCAATAGGCTTCTTAGTTTTTCAATCTTTTCTTTGTCCAACTTTCTTTGTTCCCAAGATTTTTGTAGTACTCCGGTGGTTTTACCAGTTATCACTTCCTCAAATCGGGTAGTATTGGCAAATTCTGCTATCTCTAACACGGTTATCTTTCTCAGCACTGAAACAAGTCTTAATAGTAAATGTGTAACCAGATACGATTCTAGGCAATGAAGGCCAAAGAAAGAAAAAATAAAACTGAAAGATATAACAAAATTTGGCTATGAAGGCCTAAAATAGAATTTAGTAATGAAGGCTGAAAAAATTTTCTTCCTAAGAGGAGCCTAAAGCTCTGATACCATTTGAAAAAATTAAAAAATAAAACTGTATGAAAAACTAAGAGTAAAACTAAATGTATATCGAAAACTGCTTATAAAGAATTATACTAGCACCTTAGGTTTATATACAACTAATTAGTGCGTAAACTAAGAAACTAAATCTTTCTAAAATTGATCCTATAATCATGGATTGTCTATTCTAATTTTTTGTTCTTGATTCTAGAAATACAAATACTTAATTCTAAAAATACAAATGTAAATACACAGATTACAAAATTACAACTAGCTAAGTGTTTCCCACAATATATGTACATAAATACTTGAAAATCAATGGCTAATTGTCCTGAAGAATGCAAGAAGATTTCTGTGTTAGCATTAAACGTTCAATGCATTTTATTTTTCTAATATCCCCATGGAGTTCTATATTTATTTCTGTAGTCTGAGAGGTGATATGTTATATGCATGACCAGGTTGGTAATGTTGAAACTTTAAATTGTTACTATGCTCATGGAGAGCAGAACCCCAGTTTTCAGAGACGTAGCTTTTGGATGCTTGACCCGTAAGTGTGCTCGGTGGTTTCTTTGTTTACAGCATTTCATCTCCTGATATTAAATATTTAGTGACGGGGGGGCATATTTGCTAATATTTTGGTACGTTGGCAGGGCATATGAGCATATTGTTCTCGTTCATTATAGAGAAATAAATGAGGTAAGTTTGGATGTTTGGACTAATCATTTCACATCGTCCCTTTATGATCATTTTATTCTTTCTGCTTAGAATTAAATTTTTCCAGCCCAAAGTGCTTACCCTAAGCATGGTTTCAAAGCAAGTTCAGTGGAATTTGCTATCTCTTTCATGGTATTAGTTTTCTTAGAACTTCGTCTTCTTCTCTGTGTAGCTGGTATCCAATATAACTTCACCGTTCACCATGAGAGATAGACGTGCGTTACTTTATCTTCTAAATTAATGTTACTCTTCACATTTATATGCAGGCTAAGCCCAGTTCTACATCCATTCTTCAGTCACCTGTATCCTCTTCTGCCTTTAGTCCAAGTCCAAACTCTTATACTTCTCAAAATCCTGGATCCAACTCTCTAGCTAGCGATGTACATGAACCATATCAGAATTTATCTAGTCCAGGGTCTGTTGAAGTTAGTTCTGATATTGTCATTAAGAAAAATGGGATAGATAATACAGTGGAGTATTCCAGTCCAGCTGATCTTGAGGTTAGTCAAGCTTTAAAGAGGATTGAGGAGCAGTTAAGTTTAAACGAGGACAGCTTCAAAGAAATGAGTCCATTCTGCAGCCTGGATGGAGATACTGATGATTCAAAATTTCTGGAATATGGAAGTGGGATCGACAAGCAGGACCCACAAGCAGATTTACTTTACAAACCAGATGATATCATTCAAGATCACCTTTATTCTCAACCTGCTAGGGTGGAAAATTATTCAAATAGTTTTGCGCTGCTTCCAGGTGGAGGTTTGTTACTTTGTCATTTCTTTGGTGCTCAGAACTGTCAAAATTGACATCCTGTATTGATTTTTTTATCCTCCATATTTGCTTGGACATGATTTGTTTTAGTTGACTTAGAAGTATGCTTTTTCTTACATATTTAGTTAGCTATCCTGAAAAGCAATTTGCCAAGGTGAAAGATAAAGCTTTTTCTCTTAATTTTGTTGGTCATGATAGCTTTTTAGCATTTATATGTGTGTGTGTGTATAGTATAAAAGTTGAGTATTGTGTAACCTTTGTTTCAGAAAAATATTGTGGCCTGTTAATAAATATTAATCTCAACTGCATACTTACATGCATACATGCATGCAACTGCCATAAGTTGATGCCTAAAATACACTAGTATTAAAATTCTGCAAACTCACAAGAAACGCTGAGGATGTTGGATCAAAAGGTTTAGAAGGGCCCTAATGTTTATTGTTTTATAAAATAGAGGCGATAATCCCAACTTTGGTACTATAAGAAATTTAGGAAGATGAAGCATTATAAATTTCATAACCTTTTATACCATTATAAATTGGAGAACTTTTGAGCGATATTTGATTATATGCGGAGATATTGTTCAATTTTAAAATTACTATGTAACCAAGTTCTTTGCCCCTATATGTTTGACCCCTCCGCCCCTCTTTCAATTAAGGGAAAAGAAAAGGTCCTATGTCTACCGCCCAAAGTAAGAAGAGTAGAGCAGTTGATATCATGCACAAGGTATACCCTGTACTTGGGAAAACTAATTTGAAATTGGCCTCTGCACCCTCTCACTCTCTCTCCAGTCTTCCCCAGAAAAATGCAGAAGGAAAATGAAAGGAAAGAAATGAAATATAGAAGAAGTGAAATGTGAAAACATAATTTATCAGCTAGATATTACATATTGTCAAACATGGACATCAGACGGATTTACTATTATCAAATTTAATGGCTAGCCTCTGTTTCTGTATTTCTTGGTTGATTCTTGAATATGATGGATGAGTAAAGAAGCTAAAAACAATTACTAAACTTTTTCTGTAGGTAAAAATGGAGAACCTAATCAAGCGTATGGCAATGATAATTCAGATGGAAGTAAGGAATCTCTATATTGGAAAAATGTATTAGACTCCTGCAAGAATCAATCAGGTGTTGGCTCCCAGGTAAAGACTTTTCCTCATTAGTATCTGCATGCTTAAGATCCTGTGTTATATATATTTTTTGTCATGACATAAAGGTTCCCTTTGATTCCGAGAATCTTGTTTCCAACCTTATAGTTCATTGCTGTGTGAGCATAAAACACCAATACCTCTACAATTAGCTGTTAAATATCCTAATATAATTATTCAATCTAGGTTACTTTTTAGCTGAGCTTATATTGCTGGATCTGGGGTTTGGGCCCCAGACCTATGGTAACTCCCCTTCTTAAAGTTGGGGACTTGACCGAGTTTGCCAAAGCTCACAGTCTTTAGGTTACTTTTTGGACCTAATACGATGCCAATCATTTTTTTTTTCCTTCTATAAGGAGAGTTTCTATGTCCTTGAAGCAGGGAAAGCCACCATCTTGTTCGAGGACAGAACCAGCAGATCAACAAGAACAGTCTTATTGGCTAAATTTCAATGGATCTCACGTTGAAGACTGTATGATCTCCTTCTACTCTTGATAGCAATTTTGACACTAGAAATTCTAGTATCTAGTTTATTTTGTTAAAGTCTTACTAACTCTTTCTCTGCCAGCTTCTGTACTGCTACCTCAAGAAGTTGAAAATGTTGAACTTCCTTCATATTCTTCTGCAATACAAACTATTGACACCAATTCTGATTATTATACGATGTTGTTCAACCAAGAGGAAATAGGAATTCCTCTTGTAACAGATTCAAGCTTGACCGTTGCACAGAAGCAGAAGTTTACAATTCGGGAAATTTCTCCAGAATGGGGTAACTACAGTGAGGCTACAAAGGTTTGTCAAAGAATTCTATTTCTTCTGTTCTTTGTCGCTAAAAGCTCTCTTGTTTCATGAAGTTCTTTATCTTTGCCACTGCAGTTAAAGCTTGAAAGTTTAAAGCATAATTTCCAAATGCAGGTCATCATTGTTGGATCGTTTCTCTGTGATCCCTCAGAATCTGCCTGGGCATGTATGTTTGGGGAGACCGAAGTTCCACTTGAGATCATTCAGGAAGGTGTTATCTGTTGTAAAGCTCCTCCTCACCTTCCTGGGAAGGTCACGCTCTGCATCACTTCTGGCAATCGTGAGTCCTGCAGTGAAATCAGAGAGTTTGAGTATAGAGTTAATACTAGTAATTGTGCTCGGTGTTGTTTATCCAACACAGAGGCTCCTAAAAGTCCAGAAGAGCTATTGTTACTTGTTAGATTTGTACAGATGCTTCTGTCTGATTCCTCAGTGCAGAAAGACAGCATTGAATCAAGAATGCATGTTCTGAGAAAGTTCAAAGCTGATGATGATTCATGGAGTCATGTCATAGAGGCTCTTTTAATAGGCAGTGGGACTACCTCTGGTACTGTTGATTGGCTTCTACAAGAGCTTTTAAAGGACAAGTTGCAGCAATGGTTATGTTCTAGATCCAAGGAAGCAAGTGATCAGTCAGGCTGCAACATGTCCAAGAAAGAGCAAGGAATGATACATATGGCTGCTGGTTTGGGCTTTGAGTGGGCCTTAAATCCGATTCTAAACCATGGAGTCAGTATAAATTTCCGGGACATTAACGGGTGGACTGCTCTTCACTGGGCTGCTCGATTTGGAAGGTAAACTAGAATCTTATTGACTTTTGTAACCTTAATCTCTCTGTCTACTTTTGCAAGTAATCTTTAACAAACCATTAAGGATTATAACTTTTAAAAGATATAACAATAGCATTGAGACTCCCTAATTTAGCATATGCACTGGGGAATTTTTACCAGAGAAAAAAGGGGAAGGGTCGCACAGGGAGGGAGGGAGGGAGGGTCATCAACTGTCTGATTAAGGTTGATTACCAAGTTAAGGGGGTGTTGCTGTTACACCTTATACAGAATGATTTTTTTATGCTACAAACTTATTAAGTGGTGTGAAAATTTTCTTCTTAAAACAGAGAAAAAATGGTTGCTGCACTTATAGCTTCTGGTGCTTCGGCTGGGGCAGTGACAGATCCAACCTCACAAGATCCAAGTGGCAAAACTGCAGCATCTATTGCTGCATCCAGTGGACATAAAGGACTTGCTGGTTATCTTTCAGAGGTAGCTCTTACTAGCCATCTTTCATCCCTTACACTGGAAGAAAGTGAGCTTTCCAAAGGCTCAGCTGCAGTTCAGGCTGAAATGGCTGTGAATAGCATCTCAAAGGAGAGCCTTGCCACCAGTGAGGATCAGCTTTCACTTAAAGATACCTTGGCTGCTGTCAGGAATGCAACTCAGGCTGCTGCACGTATACAAAATGCTTTCCGTGCACATTCTTTCCAGAAACGACAACAGAAAACAGTTGCTGCTTGTGCAGCTAGTGTAGATGAGTATGGTATCAGTTCAGATGAAATTCAAGGTCTTTCTACCATGTCAAAGCTTGCATTTGGCAATGCCCGTGATTACAATTCAGCGGCTTTATCTATTCAGAAGAAATTCCGAGGCTGGAAAGGTCGCAAAGATTTTCTGGCACTTCGCCAGAAAGTTGTAAAGATACAGGTATCTTACTATTTATCAGAATTTACTAGGTTGCAAGGATATGGGAAATTTTAAACATTTTCTTCCCTCCCACTGTCAAATCCTTATATACCATGTTGGCGTATGGGATGGAATGTTTCAAAACTGTATTCTTTGCTTTTTGTTTCAGGCACATGTGAGAGGTTACCAGGTCAGGAAGAATTACAAGGTAATCTGTTGGGCTGTTGGTGTTCTAGATAAGGTTGTACTTCGATGGCGACGGAGAGGTGTTGGCTTGCGAGGTTTTCGCAGTGAGCCAGAGTCCATTGATGAAAGTGAAGATGAGGACATTCTCAAAGTGTTCCGCAAACAGAAAGTTGATGTAGCTGTTGACGAGGCTGTCTCACGGGTGATGTCTATGGTTGATTCTCCAGATGCACGTCAACAGTATCGACGGATGCTTGAAAGACATCGCCAAGCGAAGGTAAGTTAAACAACTGCTTTGAATGATCTTATGATTGTAGAATTTGTGATATTGGTAGTGGCCACATAATATTTAAAAAGGGAACCCTAAACTTACATATTGTCATGGACGCCTTTGCTTTCGAGTGATAAATTTCCAGTTGCAAGTGTTATTTAAGACCCAAATTTTCTCCCCTCAAAAGTTGTGTTATTTTTTTTTTTGGGTCCTTGTTTCGGAACTCCGTTTGCAATGGGATTATAATTCTGAATCTATTCAATCATTCTTGCAGGCTGAACTTGTTAACACAAATGAACTAGCAGCATCAGCTTCTGTAGGTGATATTTATGATATGGAAAGTGATGATCTCCACTTTCCATAGGATCACCTTCTGATCACACCCGTCTTCCCCTTGAACCTAATTTGATAGTTTCCTGGATTTGTTGTATAATAGACTGCGTTTCGCCGTAGTTATATTACTTAGATTGATTTGCACATGTTCCCTGCACTTGTGCTGTATTCTTGTTATTGCTGTAATTGGTTTTTGACGGGGTTCTTTGAGCTTTTGTGACCTAAAATTCCCTCAAAGCTTGCTTGCCTTGAAGAAAAGAACATGTTATCGTTCTTACATGGGCATGTATTAGTCAATGAGTAGAAGTTCCAAGTGATTTGCTGGATGCTCTTTCCCATGTAGAGTTCCAAGTTTATAGTTGTAGTACTTTGGATCAGCCAGACAATCTCATATCTCAAGTGTCTTTTAGCTGTTGGAAGTTTTGACTTCCACCTGTCGAAGCAGAACTCCGTCCCCCCAAAATAGTGAAATTTCCATCTCCCAATCTATCAAATGGAATCAAGTCAAGAAATTGACCTCGCAATCCAGAAAGCCATAGAAGAAAAGAGAATAAAACATTCCGCTGAGGATAAACTCTCTCAGGACGATGATGAGCAGCTCCTCTCCAGGTTGCTCTCTCAGGTACGTACATAACAAATCTAAATCTGAAACCAAACAATTTATTCATAGCAACTTCACAGGAATCAACCAGAATCTCGTTTTTCGAGTTCATCTACCTACCTTTTCAGTAAGAGTCCTTTTCCTTTGTCTTAAATAAAGAAAGATGTGCATGAAATCACCAAACCAACCAACCCCATAGTTTTAATTCCCCCTATGATGATTTTTCTTGTCTATATCACTGTTTAACCAATTCAAACGTTCCGGTATATCTGCTTTTTTATGTACGATGTAAAGTTTTACATCATGGGAAAAACAGAAATTAATGTCGTTTTACTTTTGTTTAACAGTTAAAATCATTAGGAGGTGCAGGATCAACTTTACTAGAGGAAGTAACTTCGCTTTAGGTCGATAAATAAGAGGCAAAAAGCGGAAATGGAAATCCAGTGGGAAGTGGATGTGGGGAAGTTAATGTGTGTATGAGATAATGATAGAGCTTAAAGCGTTTAAGAGGCAGAATACCATTAACTCATTGCCTGGTTTCACTGATGAGTGTCGTCACTGTAATCTGGCAACTCTCAGAGATGTCCCTCTTTCTCAAGGTTAAAAATGGTTTTGAGTCACCCCGTTAGATCATTTGGAAGTCTTCTTGAAGGAATGTTGCCAAGTCCTGCAATTAATATCAATGAAGAAGACAATCATTCTTCATCCACAAAACACCACCATAATCACCTTGATGACCCTTCGCTCCCTTCTGTTGAAATTCGTCACGTCGAGTTTCCAATAATCAGGTTAGACAAAATCAATCTGTAATAGCAGAGCTTTAGATTAACGACAAATCCCTCTTTCTTCCTGGAGAAAAAAAGTACCAACATAAAACACCCGGCGTTTCAAGCGCACGAACAGGGATCAATCCCTCAAATGAAACCAAGATAATGGAAACAAAAATAGACCATTTACACATAAGCATACAATTGCAAATATCTGTGATCCATTGATGGAAGATCTGTCTCTGAGAGCCATATGATTAACTAAAAACAAGTCTGCCTCTGAAAGCCATATGATTAACTAAAAACAAGTCTTCGATCAAACACCCAACATCCAATTCATAAGACTGTCTTTAACCAACTCAACCAATCACAACAAATAAGTCTCTGAAATATGAAGAGATGGAAACCATAATGAAACAAGAAACATAATCAACCCAAAAAATTTTCCATTTTTCATTTAAAATGCTTAAACTCAGCAGAGAGATAAGCAAACTTGTTTAAATCCTTGGCATTGTATTCCTATCCCTTGATTAATCGTGGAGATTGTGTCTTCACGCATAGTTCAACCTGAATATGTCATTCAAGACATAGAAGCTTCCCTGTGGTGTTGGCATCAAATGAAACATCTGAGAGCAGAAAGCAAGACACGATACCTCGGTTAGTAATAAAATTGATGACAAAAAGAGGTCAAAATATCTGAACCAATGCATTGGGTGGATGACAAACCTAATAATTTTCTAGAGAGAAGATAAAAACATGCCTTCGCACAAATAACTAGGACAACATAAAAGGGTTAACGATTAATATAGATAAACATATATAAGTTTGCTCCACATGAAAACAAGATATAAGCCACAAGGAAATAATCAATGTCTCCTGATGAGGAGAACGGATGTCACAGTGGATTTTCTTTCGTGTCCTGCACAGAGACACAAGAAACAACATTGAGAGAGATTCCAGATAATTGTTCAGAGAGTAATCAATGAGAACGTCCTCTTGTCGCAGAAAAAATATATTAACAAAGGCTTGCTCTAGGATTACAAACATCAGAAGAAAGTTGTTGACTGCTGTTAAAGAAAGAGGATAGGAATATCCAGAACCCACATGTCAATAAGTATACGTAGAGTCTCCGAGTGCATAACAAAATAAAAAATAAAAAAAACAGAAAAAGTTCTTTGGCAACATCAGGATCCAAAATATCCATATCTTTCGATTAAATCGAAAATGTTTACTTATATCAATTATCTTACAGTTTTCTCCGTTCTTAATTCAATTATCACTACAGATTCAAAAAGAATGAAAAACATGCAATTACTGAAAATGTTATGAGCAGTAACCATTATAAACATAACGGTTAATTTGATTATAAAGATCCCGATGAATACATCAAACCCCATCGATACAATCCAAGCAGATCAATAAGATCGCATCGGGAATTCAACAACGCCGCGATGAAATCAACAGCGAAACATTGATTAGTCCTAGATCGATTACGGAGATACACATCAAAACCCTAAAACCCCTAAAAATCCAAAATAAAAGAGAGAGGCAAAGACATAAGAGAGTTACCTGGCTGAACTTAAGAGCATGCTGTTCGCCGGCGAGTTGGAGGGTACCACTGACGAAGACAAGCATGCCACCGGCGCCGGATGGCTGGCAATCGACGGTGGTGATGTTGTGCTGGCACTGCTGGAAAGGAAGGCTGGTGAGCTTAGCCACGATGTTCTGAGAGCCTTGGATCTTTTGACCTTCAAAGGTCAACATGGATCCTTCCTGGTAGAGATTGGCTAGACCGGCCCGGTTCGCATCGAATGTCGTGTAGTAGTGCTCGACGAACGCCCTCGCCACCGCGTCTGGATCCATCTGATTTTTTTTTTCTTTATCTGCGTCCGAGCTGTCGCTTCAAAATCACGCCAACGAGAAAGAGAAGGGCCGCAGCAGCAAAAGGAATGAAGAAAAGATATGCTAGTGAAGATGAGAGACAGGAGCGAGGGGTTTCCTTTTATAGGAGATTGATCTAACGGCTGATTTTGAATCACCAAAATAATTAACAGGTGGCTGCTTGCCTGGGTGTTTTAATTTGATTTTGTGATCGGTCACTGTAGAGGAACCGGCTCCTCTCCTTTTGTAGACGCTCCTTTCTTTTATACCCTCTTTACTGTCTATAAACTAGCGGATCCCTCTTTGCGTCAATGTAACGCAGCCAATTTTTCCTTTTTTTTTTTTTTTTTTTTTGCCACAATTTTTTTTTGGGAGGAGCAATTCAGACTTAAGTTAAAAAAAAAAAAGTGGTAAAAGAATATGATTTATAATTTTAAAATATTAATATTACTGTAGTGAATTAAAATATTTAAAAATATACATAAAATAATAAAATTTAAAGATACAAAAATAATAAATTATTTTATTCAAAAAGCTATGATTGATGTAAAAATACTTTTTTTAAAAATTATTATTTGGATTTCAAATTAAACTTTTAAATAAAAATCATATTTTTATTATTAAACATTAAAATTAAACAAAAAATAATTTTTAAATGAATAAATAATTTCAAAATAAATGGCAAAAAAGCATCAAATTCTTACTTGGTTTTTTTTTATTAAAAGTATAATTAAATGTATAATAAAATTAATTACGATAAGATAAAAATAATAATTATTATAATTATAATTAAAAAATTATTATAATGATGATTAAAAAAATTTTAATAAAAAATTTATATTAAATAAAATTTATTAAAATTAATATTTAAATTTAATTAAAAATATAATAAATTCAATCGTATTACAATTCTAACGGAACTAAATCAATTTAGCCACATTAAAAAAAAATTAAATAAAAAAAAAGTCTGGGTGTGACATATAAGTATCACATCAGATTTGAAATAAGGACACTGGATGGCATGAAATTCAAAGGAGAAATGAGAAAGGAAGTCTGATTGTTTTTGAAGTAAGTGATTTAAAGCCATCGACGTGAAAAATGTGTAGTTACTGATAGGGGAAGGGAAGAGTTGGTTAGATGGGTGTCCTTTACTTCCAAATAGAAAAATGGGGGGCCCATCCAACTCACAATTCCAGACTTGTTCATTTCATGTCAGCTCTTCTAGAGAATTATTATTGCCAGCACAGGCGGCAGGTGGTAGTGATTAGCATCCCCTACTTCATGTTTATCTTATATAGTTTCTCGAGCTAAAGTCGGTTTCAACACGTTAAATTGACCAATATAAATTTAATTGATTCATATTGATTTATTTGATTTTGATTATAATTAATTTTTTAAAATAATTAAATTAATTAATTTAATAGATTTTTTTAAAATTAATAATTAAATTAATTAATTTTTTAATAAATAAGATAAAATAATTAAGACGAATATTTTTATTTATTTTTTAAAATATTATTAAAATTATTAAATTTTTTAATAATTTAATTTAAATAATATTTGAGTTTAAATTTATTATTTAAATTTATGTTTAAATAATTATTTATAATTAAAAAAATAAAAAAACTATTTATTTATTCAAATAAAATTAATTTTAATCAATTTGATTATAATTAATTATTTAAAAATTTTAAATCAATTCAATTTTATATTAAATAAAAATCAATTAATTTATTTATTTATTTTTTTAAAATTGAACCTATGAAACTAATCAATTGCTTACCCCCATCTTTGCCCACCAAATCCAAGTGAGGAAAATAAATCTAAAATGGCTTTGAAAATTTGTAAATATTAGGAAAAAAAAAAAAGTCGTAAGATTGCTCAAACAAACTGATACATTGTTGTCAATCTACTAGTTACATGGATTCCTGTTTCAACGGAATGGTTAGAACAAAAGTAAAAAAAAAAAACAAAAGCTGATACAAGAACACATCAATAATTTTTCTTAATTTACAAGGTGCAATCTCCCCTCTGTTGCTGAGACAAGCAAATCTTCAATTCCTTCAACTGAATTGGTCATTATGAGACAATGAATCATGTCCAGAGAAACAGCAACATATCTTTGAATTGCCCAAGTCTTTATTACTAACACAAGGAGGATGGAATTTCTATATATCAAACACTCGGAGGAATAGGATTTCTTCCATCCATTTCCAAGTGGTTTTGTTTTTAATCAAAGAGTTTTTAACTGCACAGAAATCTCAATTCACCTATCCTGCTGAAAGGCTGACAAAAACTTTACAAGCAAAAAAAATCAACAGGCTTCGCTATCTGCATCGAAATATACAAGAAAACTCAATCCCATATGCAAACATTCACTCTATATACACTCTGCCACAAAACATGTTTCCCTGCAAAAACATCAAGCATGGCATGATGTTAACAAATTGGTAAACAAAAAATAATAATAATAAATAATTGCATCGTTTGCTGAGGCTGGGAGAGAGTAAATCTTCACCAGGAAAACCTTTTGAGGGGAAACACTTCAAAATGTAGAGTTGGAGATGAGGTTAAAGGAACTCACTCTTGGGAAGAATCAGAATTTGTTAAGAGTATCCCACTGCATGCCAGAGTAGGCACTCATATTGAAGCCATTGGGATGTCATGAACAGAAGTCATCCAACAGATTCTGATCTGATGCCTGGTGGAAAAATCGTGAAGCTTCACGGTATAATTGCTCAGCTTCAAATGGTTTTGACACATATCCATCCATTCCATACCGTAGGCATTCCTCATGTGTAGCCTGGATGACATCTGCAGTCATAGCCAAAATGGGTACATGCCATTTTGAATCATTGTTATAAGTTTCCAATGATAATTCTCCAAATTGAATACGATTATTGATATTCTGTTCCATAACCCGAATTCTCCTTGTAGCTTCAAACCTGTAGGGAGATGAAGAAAAGACAGCATTAAACATGACTAAATCAGAATATAATCGGTTGAGAACTATTAACAAACCAATAAACTACTGAAACATAAACAGCAGCCAGCAAAAATAAGACATCATAAAAGGCAACTTCAATGCTCCTTGTACCAACTAGAGAAAAGATTTTTTTCCCCCTTATTTGTTATCTTATTTTTTTAAGGTTTCAAAATTTAATTTCCAAATTAGAATTGCATAAGAAAGTTCTAAAAGTAACATGGGATTACATACCCATCCATTTCTGGCATTTGGATATCCATGAAACAGGCATCAAACTGGTGAGGTGGTGTAAGCAGTTCAATAGCCTCTATTCCTCTTGTGGCACTTACCACATCAGCTCCATATTTTTTCAATGCAAAAGCAGCTACTTTTAGGTTCACATTATTGTCATCTACAATTAGAATTTTTCTCCCAAGAAGAAGATTCCGAAGAGACGAGCAAGGTAACTCCCCATTATAGGGATTCCCTTTGTTCCCAACACCCATGGCCCGCTGTAGAGATGCCGCTAACATGCTAGCCCTCAAGGGCTTTGGGATGATGGTCAAGTTACAATCACCAGAAGAGGTAGTATTTGCTCTGGAAGAGCTGATGGAATTAGACAAAAGGAATACCTTTGGAGGAGTACCATGACCTGTTTTCTCTGAGTTATTTATAAAGAGAGCTGAACTGTTTAGATCCCTATCCCAAACTTCCTGTTCAATGAGAACCATATGGATAGCATTATTCCCCTTGCTTATGCTAGATAAACCTTGTTTCCAATCAGAAACTACTTCAACATGAATTCCTAGCCGTTGGATATGATATCTTGAAACCTTGGCACGGACAGGTCTGGTATCCATAACTAATGCTCTCATCCCATGAAACTCTGAGGAAACAGAGTTAGACTGGTTGTTGATTTGCTGGCTCTTGTACTCCTTTGAATTAGAGCAGCCACTGGTGAAAACAGCAGTAAAAGTAAAGGTGGAACCAACCCCAGGAATGCTAACAAAACCAATTTCTCCTTTCATTAGACCTACCAAATACTTGCTTATGCTTAATCCGATGCCTGTGCCTCCATGCGTTCGGGAAATAGAAGGGCCCACTTGCATAAAAGGGGTGAAAACACGAGACTGTGCTTGCAGAGGGATTCCTTCTCCTGTATCTTCAACTGATACGATAAGATTAATGCTGGCAGAGGAAGAATGCACAGATCCTTCTTGACTGAAAGTTCTAAATGCTTTCCAGCTCTGGCGTCTATCTGCAACAGGAAAACCACTCAAGGTATTCTTTGGTGAAGATTCCGTCTCAACTTCAATTGAATCAATCACCTCCTCCACAAGATGAACTGTAACAAGGATGTGTCCTTTCTCTGTGAACTGCACCAAATAAGTAAATTATAAGTTTATTGATTCTAAAGCATAGTCCAGATAAAACTGAACTTAAAATTGAAGCTTCTGGCTTCCTAGATATCTAGAAGGAAAAAAGAGAGGTGAAACATTCAAAGATTGGTAACTAGTAAGTTTCAGCATTCGTATATATAATGACTATTTGGTACATAATAAAGCCACGATACCATTCATCACAACTCCCACATGCTTGTAAATGTGTTAACTATTCTTACTTGGATACAAAGGAAGCAAGTTTTAGATACAAGGAATAATGTTCAAATTTGAAAACAGATTGATCAGGCATACTCCTAACTCTTCCTAATAGTATATAAAATTTAAAATTAAAAATAATAATAATAATAATAATAATAACTTTCTCAAGTCCAACAAGTTTTATGTTCGTTATATGGAGAACCAACCACATACTTTAATTGAGTTTCCCATGAGATTGGTGATGATTTGTCTGAATCTCCCAGGATCACCAATTAGCATCTCAGGCACTTGATCAGAGATGTAAACTGCCAACTGCACTCACCCACAAATTGATAATACAAAATTGGTAAGTTAGACTCTTAGATGAACACCATATGAAGGGTCAAAGAGAAAGAAAAAAAAAAAAAGAGAGAAGGGGGTGGAGAGAATAGGGTGACTCACTGAGATACAGGTATCTCACCTCTACTCCTTTGTCCTGAGACTTCCCAGAAAAGAGTGACAACACATCATCCAAGATTGCTCGTAGATCAAACTGCACTTCCTCAAGCTCTAGCCTACCAGATTCGATCTTAGCCTGATCCAAAACCTCATTTATAAGCGCAACCAGAGCCTTTCCACTAGCTTGTGCAGTTCTGACATAATCTAGTTGTGTAACATCTAAATCTGTGTCCATAAGCATATGCAACATTCCTGTAAAAAAAGAGTCTTCCTGTCATGGCTAAGTAAACAGTATTCTCTACCAGTTATTTTCATTTAATTCTCTAAGCATAATTACAAAATGCTTGAAGTAACTTCAGATAAATAAATGAAAACTTCAAGACTCACCCAGAACACCATTCATTGGGGTTCTGATCTCATGGGAAACAGTAGCAAGGAACTGCAAAAAGGTCACAATTAATTAGGACCAAATATCCATAACAGGCCCGAAGGCTAAGAGTATAGGTCAGAAATATCATTCACCTGAGATTTGGCTACATCAGCTGCCTCAGCCTGTTTTTTGAGCTCCATCATCTTATGGCAATCATCTTCCACCTTGGCAATTCGATTAACAGTTGCATGGAATATATGCCCAACAAGTAATGCAATCACAAGGATACCAATTGAAGTGGTTATTGCTAACCAAGGCCATGGTGGCTTTAGCTTGAACCTATATGAAGAACAAACTTAGTCCATGATTTATATTCAAGTTCTTTACATTTCAAATGTTTTTACAGAAAAAGTAAAAAAAGAGGGAAAAGGAATTTAAAACCACTCTTATAGATTGGTTATATGGACATAGATAGCACTTAGATAAAGGTTGACATGTCACTTGCAAAGGCCAATTTACAACAATCTTTTTTGTTTTTTTAGGATAGCAGAATTTATGTTGAATTGAAACTGGTCAAAAACCAACAATAAAGGCCCATATCGAAGAGAAGGTGAACCCCAGATCAGTTGGATGATGCAAGGTCTATGGAATACCTGCAGCGCATCTCATGCTTTCTGAAAGGATCTCCAAAATTAAGATGGCTGACATGCTCTAACCCATCATCTGATGCATTTGAGCCATACATACTGATAGGGTAAGACTGATTAGTTGTGTCGAAGACATTCACAAGGATTGTTTGTTTACTTGCAAGTTGTTGTAGCAACTTTTCCACAAGTGACTCGATATCAAACACTCCACCAAGATACCTGATTGAGCAATGAGGAGATTATGATAACTTCCCTTTAACTATCATGAATAAGATAATCTTATCGCAGCCAATAACTAGAGCATTACATCAGGGACATCTAGTTAAAAAGCAAAAAATTTGTTTCACCTTTTTATCCATGGCGTTTATTTTGATCAATGTATATGAATAATTTTAGAGGCCATAAGCTATTGGATTACTTCTTACAACTTTTACCTGTTTCGTGCATGTATGCATGTGTTTCCAGAGATTGGAAGCCAAATGAATTCATTTTCCAACTAACTTTCATAAAACAAAAGACATTGATTAAACATTCCCTGTCTACTTTTTATTCGTATTGGAAACATACCCATCAGTGGCTTGAATCCTCTCATTCGGAGTTGCATTTGAGGGAAGATCCCCTTTGTAGACAGCAAATGTCAAAATAACTCCAAGACGATTTGTTTTGAGTAGTCTAAAAGGAGCTGTTAACACTCCTTTTCCTGATTTTCTTGCACGTAATACATTCTCGCGATCTTCCTGTTGGTACACAAGAAATTAAAGATTCACAACTGAAGATTGTAATGAAAATTCTTTATTCAACCAATGTTAAAGCTCTTGAGAGATTGAAAATACTTTGTATTCTACCAAACTAGAAAGTAACAAAATTAACTTAAGCTTCTATGCTGTTTTCTTTAATTAGATATAGTACAACTTTCAGTGAAATTTAACAAAATAGGCTATGGCTACTGAAAGAACAATAAGAACCTTTTAGAAAATAGTAAAGGAACTCACCTTTCCTGACAACATATCAATAGAAACCACATGTGATATGGTATCCTGAGCAAAGATAACAGGAGCATATTCTTCCTGAATTGGCGACGGTTCCAAGAGGTCAGGATTATAGTCATCCTTATGAACCGGATTTTGTTCAAGAGTATCCATCCTCTTAATAGTCCAGCCCTGTTGCTTCTCAAATTGTTCCCTTTCAGAGTGGAGCACCCTTACAGCATATGCCACACCACTTGTGAGAGGCCTCTCAAAAGCAGTTCGTTCCGTGTACCTCGCAAAAGTCCCCTACAGGTTCTTAAAGTAAGTTTCCTTGTTGACAAAAAAAACAAGTGTTCATAATTCGTAAGTAAAAACGCTCAGATCGGGTTTGGTCTAGGTTTAAATAACCATGTTTAACATTCTGAAGCAGGAACGCCTATCAAGTTGGCAAAATTCTTATTTAATCTAAAACTCGGGAGTAACAATTTTGATTTGAAATTGTATAATTATAGGCAATCAATCACATCAAGTGAGTATCCCAGATTAATCCAGATCAAGTAGTTCAATTGCCAAATAGGACAAATTCCGTTCTAAATTAAGAAAAGAGCAGCAAAATTGACTCTTTCAATTGAGCACAAGAAAAAGAAGACACTAAATGATGGTAATCAAGCACTACAAATGTATAATTATCTATCTCAACTAGTTCTAGTATCCTAACTAAAAGTTAGTAGAAGAGGATTTGACTTACCTGATCAATAGAAGAGGGGTTTTTGCCATGGTGGAAAGTTGAGATCAAAATGGACATAGCCTGAATATGGTTCATGCTTACATTAAACTGATCCTGCAACATTCTAGCTCTCTCGTCACACATGCTAGCAAGTGTCTCCTTCCTCTTTTCGGTAGCCTGAGAGCACATATAACAGAAGATCCAAATAGAAGCTACGGTCCAACCAATTACCCAAGAAAACAAGAGCTTTCTCCCCCAAGTCTTGCTAACTCTCTTGGAACCAATATACTGGCAGTAGTGATGGTGGATCTTGATGCTATAGCTTGAGATTTTATCCCAGCATTTGAACCACATCTTGCTACCACTATCACCAAGGAGAGCAGCCTTGGCGTCCTTAAATTCACCATTAATGAACCAGCTCATGGAAATCATAGATGCTATCCAGCAACATAACATCCAAAGCAGATGCCCCACCTTTAAACCAAACCCAAATACATGGAGCAGACTCATCCAAGAAACAGTGACTAACCAGCTAACTAAGGAAACAGTACCCCTAGGCTGAAGTGGGTCTTACTTCCTTGTTAATTCCAGCTAGAAGAGAGAGACCCACTGTCAAATCTATAGAAACTGTCTAGTAAAATCCAACATCACCAGGAAATCAAGAACCTTGGGATAAGAAGGAAAACCCCGCAAACTCCAACTTGACTACAAGACAGATTGTTTGGAAGGAGTTGCACCCGTGAGGGAAAGAAAAAAAACGCTACCTTATCCAGCACTATAGCCTACTAACTGAGAAAAGCAAAATAGAAGACTCAGAATTAAGGAAGATAAGGAAAATTTTCTCAATAACCACAGAAAGGAATCAAAGAATCCCTCAAGATTCTGAGTTTCAAATTCTAAATAGAATTTGTTTTTATCTTGTTAACTACCAACCAGAGTCCAGAATAAGAAATAGACCAAAGTTTCCAGAAAACAAAGATTCCAAATTTGGATATCAAATCAAACACAAACTCGGACAGCTTCCCCCTTCCCACAGGCAACAGAATCTGACAGGAAATCTAGTTCATACGAGAGAAGTCCTTAAATTCCTCAAATCAAGCAGGAAGACAACTATCAAACATGTGGGTATTAAGGTTTGACCCCAGAGTTCACCTGTAGCAACCTATAGAGATCTATCAACAGATTGTACAGCTAAAATAAGATTAATACTATTACTATTATTAAAGTTTACACTACCCTTGCAAGTTGCTGTTGTAGTTGAAGAACAAGTGGATTCATGGACATTTAAGATTGAAAGAATCTGTGAAAGAAAGATGAGAGGAATATGGTTGTAGAAATGTCTGCTAGCACAGGCCATTATCTCTATTCCATACCATTCAACCCCCTTTAGAAAAAATACTAAAATTTTAAACTCAATGCTTGAAATGCATTTAATTTTATATTTCTATAGTTTTTTTTAATAGAAAATACAACAAACAGGGTAGAAAAGGGCTAAAGGTACAGTTCCACTCAGCCGAAATGAGAAAAATCAGTCTTTTTTTTTTTTTGGGTTTTTTTCTAACTCTACTTTGAGTTGCGATCCTATCCATACTTGTCCTCTAGTAGACAAGTTCTACACGCTAAGTGATTAACTCTCTGTCTTTGTATGGCTGTATGTACTTTATGTTGACAAAAGTACCCTTGCATGAAAACAAAAACTTCAACTTTTTTTGCACCCGTTTTGGCATTAGATGCCCTGCTCTTTTCCAAAATTGCCATAACAGGACCATGAGTCAAAAGAGTTGGTAAAGAAGATGAAGCCAAAGCCTATCCCCCTTCTCCCCTCTTTTTCTCCATGATTGAAAATGAAGCCTCTCAAGGTGTTATTATGTCTTCTCCAAATAATGGAATCTAGGCCAGGGGCCTCTGTTTTGTTACATGCTTACCATTTTCTAGCTTTTTAGCACTTACATGCTAGAAGCCTAAAAATCCCAAACTCATATTACTCATTTCTTCAAATTTTTATGTATATTTTGGTCCCACATGAAAAAAAAAAATTACTATCATAATTTTTAAAAATTTTGATGAAATATTAAATATAATATTTAAAAAATTATTTATCATTAATATATTATTTTTTAAATTAATCATATTTAAAAAAAATATTTTTTAAATATAAATTTATAATTTAAATATTATATTATATTTAATATTTTATTCTAATTTAAAAATTATTTCTACCATTAAAATTTTTTTTACCAAATGTGTTTTTGTCTAACATGATGGCAATTGGCATGGCACTTTTACTCGCCATAATCGTAATAATTCTTCTTTCTTTTGTATGAGTGACACCTCAACAACTTTTTTAACAAGTTTAAAAACAAAAGTTAACCCCCACCAATCATAGAATAAGCTTTTATAGTACAAAAAAGAATAATGTGGTTGTAACCAACCTCCCCGGCACCTTTCATAAACCTAATTGCACCTATTGATGTTTAATAATTTTAAACAAGAAGTAATAATATAATATAAATTTTATATAAAAAATAAAAAATATAATTTAAATTTTAAAATATTAAATTTATATTATATATTAATATAAAATAAATATGATATAAACATATAAATTATCAAGATTTATTAAATCTAAGATTTTTTAATTTTTTAAATTTATTATTATTTTATTTACCATCTAGGAAGCAACAAGAGGCAAATGGCGATTTAGGACGAGAAGTGGATTTTTCGAAATAAGGAGAAAGCTAGAGGGGCAATGATGTAAAAAGATGGGGTGATTGTTGGCGCCAACAGTGGCAAAACAGTAATTAGGGGGAAAAAGGGTGGCGAAAAGTAGGGGGGGGGCGCTTTAATCAAGGCAATGTCACGACGGGGAGTGATTAGGCCATCACTACCCACTTCTTTTTTGGTGTCCTCTGGGGAGCTCTCTGCGATAGCGACGTCCCCCGTCAGCGCACCGGTTCTCTCTTGTTTCACCCAATCAGATACTCCTACGTGTAGTCTCCGTAATGGGCCTTCGCTTTGTTACGTGGCACCCGTGGCGTTTTCATTAATTACTGGCATCTATCTGCCACGTGTCCAATGAGAACTGCCTTTTATTATTTTTTTTTTTTACCGCTTGTGTGGGGGCTCGCTAACTTCAGGTAACTTCGTGAAGGCTTCGGCCGAAAAAGATGTTCCCTAAGGTTTCATCGATGGTTTAGATTTTTTAATTTTAAACACGATTTAAAAGTGATGATATAAAAATATAAAAAAAAATAATTTAAATTTTGATTAAAATTTTAAAAAATATAATTTTATATTAAATATGTTAACATAATTTATAACATAATAAATTTTTTATACTTAAACATGCTTAATATAAAATTAATATTATTTTTAAAATAAATTCCATTTATATATCTTATAATTAAATATAATTTAAAACATGACACATAATTATTTTAAAATTTTTTTCGTGTCATTTCGTTACTAATTGTTAACATCATTAATGCCTAAATTGTACAAATCCCGTTCTTTCCTTATTTTCATTTTTTTATAAAAGTTTATTATTATTATTTTTTAGAATTAAAAAAATCTAAAATCGTACAAAAAATTATTTTGGTTTTAAATTAGGAAATCGCATTACAATTAAATTTGATGTTCTCTGTATACTATGTGATCTTTTTCTTAATTGATTTAATAATAGTGAAGAGGAAGAAGATGAATTGGAATAATTTTTTGATTCAAAATAAATAAGCTAAATTTTTTAATACGATTTGATTTACAATTTGATGTGGTTTTTGTTTTAAGCTAAATTTGATTGGAGTATTTTATTTTTTATATTTAATTTTATATTTTTATTGAATAATAAAATTTTTAGTCGAATTTTTAGATATGATGCAAAAAAAATTAATTTTTTTGTATATTTTGGAAAGTCAGTCATTCAGCACACAAGCAATTTTTCAACAAATCACCACAATTCAACAAGGATGCACTTTGACAATAAACAGAGTAATTTAGCAGTAAGTAGATCAAGTAATGCCAACAAGATTTGGGGAAGCAATACAACAAGCAAGAAGCAATTCAAGGAAGCAATCGAAGAAAACAAAACCAATCAAGAGCAATCAATCAAGCATAAAATCCTGATATTGTCATATCACAACAGTGAGGTTTGCCCTTCAGGTGGTTGTGTTTTTAATGTAACACTTCGAAAACTTGCTAGAAGAAAAATGAAATGAATCTCAATAATTGACAAACTGGTAATCGAAAAGGCTTCAAGATTTGTATCCATCCTTTAATTTGAAGCTACCAACTTATAATGACTGTACTCTTTCCCAGACAGAGATCAAATTTTGTCAAGCTCTACCTTTGCTTCCTTTATAGATTATTTGCCCCCCACTTTTATGGTATTCTTTTTTCATTATAAAAGAATAATATCTACTTTATATTTTTTTTTATATTGATAATTGCGGAATAATTATAAATTTAAATAAAATTTTTATTTTTGTTGAACGACTAATAATAATAATAAATAGTGCTTGAATATATGTGCCACATGATCTATTATCATATATATTCTCATGTTTCAACAGCAAATTCTCAAACATTAAGGATGGATTAAAAAAAAAAAAAACCATTTAATCGAACATTCTTGATGTGTTGGGTTGTACCTGACAACTAATTTAGTATGGGTTCGTGCTCTTTTTGCTCATTAAAAGAAAAGAAAAAGAAAAAAGAAATTAGAAGATGACTAACTGAGTGGGGTCATTGAATTGAAATTATATTCCATCATTATTGATGCTTAAAAATTAAGATTTTTGTGTAAGAAAATTAAATCCAATGGGACATGCATGCTTGAAAAAAGGCAAAATGGAAAATTGCTGTCAAACTCAATGAAAAATTATCCCACCAAGCTTAGAAGGATTCCATTTCACTTTTGCATTTCAATTTCCACATCTTCAAAAAAATAAAAAAGATAATTACACTAATTAATTAAATTAAAATTTGGACTTAATTTCGGATTTAATATATTTTATTATTTTCACTAACATGAGCATTTTTATTTTCGTTTTGGCACGAAAATGTGCACACAGCCAGACTTTGGACATATAATTAATAAAATAAATAATGATAGAAAATTAGATTTATAATTATTTATTAATGTTAACCAAAAAAACAAAAGGGGGGGACATGTTTGCATCAACAGACAGAAGGTCTGAATTTATGGGGTCGGAAAGAATCAGAGGTTAGGCGGAAGGTTTAATGTTCTTTTTATTGACCAAAGTATATAAATAAGAATATGGTTCATCAAATTGATCAGCTCATTTTATATACGAAAAGTTTTGAAAAAAAAAACAAAATTATGGAGTTTTAAACCTTTAAATATAGGGATAGCTTAATAAATGAAGCTTCTCTTGCTCATTGTTAAAATTTTGCGATAAAATAATGGCAGAAGCATGTTGTCCGATGATTCTCAGCCTTGTCTCATATGTACAAATAAAATAATTTAATTCATGACAAATACCTTGATTATAATATAATAATAATTGAAAAAGAATGAAGTGCAAAAAACATGTTTAGTCCAGTTGAAATTTCGTGTGAAAGTTGGATAAAAAATATAGACAGGGAATTGTCTACGGGGGATGGTGAGGCCATTGCCGGCCATCTATTTTGAAACGGCCAATGAACAATTTCACATTAATCTTTCATTCTTTTTTGTTTAACAAAAAAAAAAAAAAAAAAGCTTGTTAAAGGCCTACAATGGTGATATTGTCAAGCCATTTTACTCGAATACCTGTGGAATTGGAGGCTTGGCAAGGTGTCAATACCATAGGGAATACTGCAAGAAAGATATAAAAGAAAAATAAGTGAAAATGGATGGCAAAGTTTCAAACCTCGAGCAAAAGGGGATTGGCAAAGTTGAATGTCACAACATACTTTGGTTATTCTCATGAACCCTAGCAAATGGCATATAGTATTTTACATTAAGAAACAAACCAAGCGTCAGAGATTACGGCGTTCTACCCACGGCCCACCCATTGTCCAAAGAAAGAGCTGACGAGTTGCTGTCGTCAAGTCAACAGATAGGAGGAATAAAGGCTTTTAAAGTTCCATAAAGAAAGCATCTCCCCATTAACCTTTCTCTTTAATCTAAACCCAACCTATTTTCCAGGTTTAAACACGTTTGCAAGCCGTGTCGGGATGCTGGCTGCTGCCAGGGCACTTACCAATTCTCCGGTAGTGCAGTACCTGGAAAGAACTGATCCGAGAGGAATTGGATTGTTAAGGATTAATCAAGTGTGAGTATAAAAATTTAGATAAGATTAATCATGTGGGGTTATATTATACATTTCCATGGTGGACCAACGCGATATTGATGCCTCCAAGTGATAGATAGGTGGGAATTTGCATTTTCTTGATACAGACAGGACTATGATTAATCTAAAATGAAAATTGAAGATAAGGCATATGCCCGCCGCATGAATTCTGTCAATTAAAATTGGTTGTTCCTAGTTCATCTTCTCTTTTTTGGATGACTCACGCCGCAATAACTGCACCAATCATAAGCAATTTTTTGGCTTATCCAAATAATGCAAAGTGACTGGAACTCTGATTAGAATTATACGAACCAGTTTGAAAGTTGATCAATGGAGGTTTACCGGACCGTGGTTCCTGTCCCTTAACGCGAGGTCAGACTTTGCAGAAAAGAATTATGTGGTCTGTACTCTGTTATCCATGGTTTAACCACAAATTCCAAACAGGTGAAGTCTAGACCAGTTAGTTGAACTGCAATAACCGCCAGCTACTACATGTCTCTCTGCTAAGAACAGTAGTTTCCAAATGACCAACATTCTTGTAACCCTGAAGATTAGATCCGCATGTAACAGTTATATCGCATCATTTTCAGCTTTTCATGTGTAAATCGTGATACGCATCTGAAGACTACATGATTCTTTCTTTCAAGGTATAAATTAAAATCCAACAAGAGGCATAAATATTTCAATGTGTAAATAGTGAATTCATAGTTGGAAAGCTAGATAAATACAGCATGCTTTCCCGTACAACACATGAAAAGGAGATGAATTTGGAATATACAGACATTGTCCACAACACGTGGCACTCGTTTCCTTTTACACATGTCATGGTTGGCGAGCAACTAGGCATCATGGTTGGGACAGAAAGCATTTGCAGCAGTTGGTAATTCTGGCTATATACACTAAGGAATCCATCAACAGAGCCTTTTGAAACACTAGTATTGACATGGGTCAGCCAATCAAGTCACAATCTGCAGGCCAAGCAAATGGTAGCTTCAATCATTGTTGTTCCAGTAAAAGAAAAGAAAAAGGGAGTCACACCAAGCAAGAGAAGTAGACATCAACCTCCCACATCAAAATCATTACATGCAACAAGTAACGAAGTGATCAAGGTCATTGACGAGGAAATTCTGTAAGTGGAAATGTGCCCGCTTGATGGGTCCAAATTTCTTATAGCAAAACATTGAGGGCAGTTCCCATCTCCCAACCTAACATTCTCATCATTGACCACTGTAGTATACCTCCAGTAAGCTAACTCAAATGACCGGCTTACTTTAAAAAATGAGACTATTTGATGCATTCCGTGTAGGACAAATAATATTTGACAAACTAAAATTATTGAAGGGCTAAATATGATACATACAGGCTCCAGGTGTTCATCTTTGAAACATGGGGTCATGAACTTTATCTTAACCTCTTCCATTTCTAGTCAAATACAGTTTTTCATAAAGTGACATCCACATAGGGCTAAGAATTACAACAAAAAATAAAAAAGGCTGCTTGAGAAATACTTACACGTGAAACATTGTCACCGCATAAAAATTCAGGTCCTATCCTCACCGAAACTGCAGATCAGTGTTGTCGCCCATTCTAGTGACCTCTTAATCAGCAAAGCTGGATAGCCTGCAATGATACGGCAATTCTAGAGCATTTTCTAGTCATATGCATCAAGCCATCAACTAAGACCTAATTATAAATTAAACACGTATTTCAATGGGTAGAGAAATGGCTGCACTAAGCAAAGCAGTTCACTAGAAGGCTTCTCATAAAGGCATCAATGAAGTTGGCATGGAACAGATCAATGGATATCATATCTGCATTTCAAAGCCAACTACTTCCATTCAATGCTAAAAGAAATGGTAATGAATGGATAAACTGGGTATAGCCTGAAGGAAAAGTTCGCAGTTTTGAAGTAGCTAGCGGTTACGATCAATATTCAGAGGCTTAAGAATGTAGGTTGAGTTACACATGGAGGCAACTGCTTAAAAGTTGGGCACTGCAATGATTTTGGCACCAATATCTACTTTTTACTTTTCATACTCCCAATACCTTTAGTTGACCCAGAAATTGAATTGGAAAAGATCAGAACTAGTCCCCACTGTAAGAATGATTGGTCTTTCAATTCTTAGCACCAAACTTCTTACCAGCCAATTTCCCGTGATGTCCTAAACTGCAGAGGAGAGGGTATCCACCATTAAATTGCAAATATATTCAACACAGTATGTGCCAGATCAGGTTCTCAATTTACTAAAGTGCAGATCACATGAGTTCCAACACGATGAACATGCAGAGACGTAGAATCTCACTATTAAAATCGACATTACCAGCAGCAGGCCACCCAAGCTTCTCATTCTAACAACAACAGTCCCATTGATAAAATGATACCTCCTTTTTCTCCTCCCTCAAACCAGACGAAGACTGTTTCTCAAAGCACAATCTATAAAGGAAAAAGGAAAAGAAAAATCTCCTCGAGCATTAACACATCAAACACTTTGGTAAAGATCCTAAACTTTGAGGGAAGCATTTGGTGTTAGCATAAGATAGGATGAATGTTCAATTAGGATCTTTAGTCAAAGATACCATAGATTAACTGGCTCTCCAAATGAGTCCCAAACTCCAAGGCTCACTGAATTATCACCAGAGTAAAGTTTAAAAGGTCGATTGGGCTATGCCAAATAATATTTTTATGGATTGGCATGCAGATCTGAAACATATATAATGCTGAAAATAATAGCATTTTAAATAAAATCTCAACAAAAATATCAATGAAGAAGACACTATATCAAAAAATTTAAGTAATGAAAACTTCAATAAATCTTGTCTAGCTTGAAATTGTGAAAGACTAGCATGTTTTTAAAAGGCATTATTACCTTAAGCGAAGGTTAACTAGTTCTGGATGAATCCATTATTACCTTAAGCTTATTTAGAAGGTTGGCTTTCCCATGTCTTGAAACCGCAAATTCTGATTTTACTAGTATTTGTTAAAAGGAATCACCAATGCAGTGATTTCATACTGAAAGGTACTTGCTTCATGCTAGGAGATGGATGTCATGTCTACAAGTGATCTTAGCCATAGATTCCCTTTAATTAGATAAGAAATCATGGATGCAAAGCTATGAAGACATTAACCAAAATGCCAAGACATTGAAATTGGAGTCTCTTAAAATTCACTTTTACCAGCCAGGTTTATTCACTAATATCAAATTCTGGCAAGATGTAACCAAGCTCCTTTCACTTCCAAAAAGAACAGGGACATTGAACCATAAAGATTGGGACTTCAAAGGATAACATCCAAACCAATCCAAGAAGCAAGACATAAGATGCATGATAGAGGGTCCAATCCCATTTCATTTCATTTCTCCCTTACAATCAACATTATCAGAGTCATTTCATTAAATCAACATCAGTTGCCAACCCTTCCAAATGATAGCTCCAATAAGACCTAACCAACTTTTTGATCCCAAAAGTAATGATGATTGAAACGATATCTACTAGGAAAGCACTCAGATTCCATTTAAAAAAAAAAAAAAAAGCACTCAGATTGTCAATGTGATGATATTTTCAACAATTTGATGTTATATACTACAATCCCCAGAATACACACCACCACCTTACTACTTAATAATAATAAAAAAAAAAAAGGAAAACATCAACGTCGGCATACCAAAGAATACAACTTCAGTCTTTGAGCATTGAGTAACATATTATTTCAGAAGTCTAAACGCCCAATATAATAGCAAATTCTGATCTAGAAAGGACAAGGGTGTTCGCTTGAGACATCGAAGAACAAGCTGTTTAACTGAATTAACTGTTTATTAACCACCCAAATTTGGAAAGCAAATTGGTTTTTTTTTTTTCAAAACTAGCCAGATATAAGCAAACACTGTAAGACTTAAATGAAGAAAAAAGGAAGCCGTTGCCGTCACCTGAAGAACGCTTGGGTCCACGTCCATTGATCAAGATTGATGGACGAGCACGATCCACCATTGAACAGTTGATCTCAAGAACAGAGAAGACTTCCATTGTAATTGGGTTGTTCCCGGTTAGTTTTTGAGGCCTACTAATAGCCCAGATTTTGGGTTTGCTTTTTTCGGGCTTTTCTTCGGGCTTTTCTTTTGTAAACTGGAACGGATGACCAGACATCATGAAAGTTCGCACCATTAAAGCCACATTTCTATGGTCCAACACCGGGGCTGCTGCATCGCCATTGCTTTCAGCCTCTCAGCTTTCAAGCAATAAAGCAAAGGATGATTATATGATTAAAATATGAATTAATATTTGATATATTGTCAACATAAATTTTAATTTTATAAATAATATTAAAATATTAATACATATTTTATTTTTATTTTTAAATATATTTTAAAGATAAATATTATTTTTTTAATTTCATTTATAAAACTTAAAAATTTCTTTCTCAATATATTTAATAATTTTTTTAAAAATAAAAATATAATAATTATATCTACACATTTGTGTGCGTATATATTTTATATCTTTGAATTATGATTTTTTATAAGAAAATTAAAATAAAATAAGCAATTTTAAAATAATTTTTAATATGCAAAGATAGTACAAAGACAGGATTTTAACCTTGAATTGAACTTAACTTTTTTAGATAAGAATAATTTAAGCTAACCTTGAATTGTTTTAATGTTTTTCTTTTTGCATTGTTTGTATTATTAAATATAAAAAATTAAATTAATGTCCTTTTAAAAGTAATTGAAATTAATATCATCTCAAGAATAAGATACTTATAAATCATGAGAATCACATTCTCATAAATTAAATTTTAAAAGAATATATCTCAGATTCTTCCAAATCAAATATTTTAATAGTATTTTTATTTTTTGAAAATCACTTGAAAGTTAAAATTTAACTAATAAGATGTACAATAAATAATTAGTAACTAAATTTGGTTTTAGTTTGATTATATTCATTTAATAAATTAATAAATAATTATAAATAATATTTTAAAATCTTATAATTTAACAAATAAAATATGAATAAACTAAAATTTATTTTTATTCGATTTATTTACATTCAAAGTGTAAATAAATAGAATATTTGATAAATAATTTATAAATAAATTTAATAAATAATTATAAATAATTTTCTAAAATTTATTAATTAAATAAATATATTATAAATATAGCAAAATTAGTTTATATTCTCTAAATTTATAGCGAAGATGGAAAATTTTAACAGATTTGCCGATTTTTGGGCATTGGCAAAGTTGAAAACCCATTTGACGAGTTAAACATTAACCATGGTTAAGATTACCGACCAGTGATAATAAAGAAATTGCGAAGTGAAAGGCAAAGGAAAGCTCTATACGACTAAAAAAGAATGTTTTAAAGTGTTTTTATGGTTTTCGACTATTTGGTAAGAGGCCTGTTCTGTCTGGGTTAAGAGGGTTTTGAGAAAAGGTCCAGTTTTGGGGGGATTTTTTAAGATTTGAGAGAGAAAAGAAAGGGCATAAAAAGAAAAAAAAAAATGGTGATGAAGGTATGTCCATGGTGTCTCTGTGATACCAGAATGTTCTATCCACTAGCCCTGTTCTTATTATAAGGTAATAATTCCACTCTTTTCTGAAAAATAAACAAAACTTTCATCTGCTGATCACTTGATATACTAAAAATTTTTGGATCTTGACTGATATATTGCGATTCCTTATTTGTTTTTTTTTTTTTTTTTGGTTGCATAATTTGAGTTGGAAACTTGATTTAAAGTAGATCCATGGATGTTAATTGCGTTTTAATTTGGATTAGTTATCTTTGTAACTTGGGTTCGGATTAGTTTTATTATTAAACGTTTCTTTTTCTCCATTCCATGTATCTTTGTCGACAATAATTGCCGGATAACTCATGTAAGAGAAAGAACTCGGTTTGCGTTTGACCAGTTTTTGTTTCGCATTTCTTTTCAGATGTTTGAATTTGTTGGATTCGAAATGAATAACTTGACTGTGTTTTTCGCCTTAAGAAGTTCTCTTTTTGGTGATAATTGCTTGTTATTTTCAATTTGTTTTCCCTTTTCTGCTCTGATGATATTCCTCTTTTTTATGATTTTGGGCAGTGTTCTTACTCGGGTCATTTGTGTTTGTATCGGTTTTCCACTAGGTTGGGGATTTTTCTTTTCTCTTTTGCTAAAGTATGATAAAACGCTGAAGTTGAGGATTGATAAGTGGGGTGGCTTAAATTTTTAAGAGTTTACGGGTGGCTCTTTTATTAGAGAGCAACACTGGGAAAGGGAAATGGAATGCAATAAGGATGAGGCCACCAGAGCTAAAGAGCTTGCTGAGAAGAAGTTCCTTGCAAAAGATGTTACGGGGGCAAAGAAATTTGCTTTGAAGGCCCAGAATTTGTTTCCTGGGCTTGAGGGTATTCCCCAAATGATAGCAACACTTGATGTTCATATTTCTGCAGGGAACAAAATAAATGGAGAAACAGATTGGTATGGCATACTCGGTGTGAATCCACAAGCTGATGATGAAGCAGTGAGGAAACAATATAGAAAGCTGGCTCTAATGCTTCACCCTGATAAAAATAAGTCTGTAGGAGCTGATGGGGCATTTAAACTTATTTCGGAGGCATGGAGTTTGCTGTCTGATAAGGCTAAGAGAGTAGCATATGACCAGAAGAGGGGTGTGAAGGTAACGCGAAAGGTTTCAACACCTAGTGGGGGTTCAACAGCATCAAAAGCGGCAAATGGTTTTTACAACGTCACCAAAACAACCACTTCAAGCATGAAGACTTCCAAGAGTAACCCACGTGCTGCTCAGTCTTCGAACTCTGCTGGTCGTTCGTCAAACCCTGCTGGTCAGTCTTCAAACCCTGCATCATCTCATATGCCTAAACCAAATACCTTTTGGACTATCTGTCATCAATGCAAGATGCAGTATGAATATCTGAGAGTGTATCTTAATCATAACCTATTGTGCCCCAACTGCCATGAGCCATTTTTGGCTGTAGAAACTGCTCCCCCAACTGCATCAGCCCCTACCCCTTGGAAATTTTCACAGCATCGGCAGAACTCAAATAGTCAAGCAGGTAATAAAAGCTCAAGTAATTCAGGAAGAAACCATATCTCTTCTTCTAATGCCGCAGGATTCAGTGGTCATGATTCATATAGTCAAAGCAACTTTCAATGGGGTCCTTTTTCTAGGACAGGTGGTTCTTCAACTGCAGCTCAAGCTGCAAGTGTGGTTCAGCAGGCATATGAGAAAGTGAGGAGAGAGCGGGAGGAAGCACAGGCAGCTACAAAAAGAGAAGAGGCCATGCGGAGAAAGCATCATGCCTCTAAAAGGGCAAGTGGTGTGTCTTCAACTGGATTAACTAATGCTGCTAAGAGAAGGAGAGGCTTGGAAGATGGTAGTGCAAGCACCCATGGAGCTAATACTACCAATCGAATGGGTGTAGGAAATGGAGGTACAGCTAATCTATCTGGATCTAAACAATGTAGTTTAGAAACAGGTTGGACCAATGGAACCACTAAGCAGAACACTGCAAGAGATATCTCCCTGAAAGAAATTCAAAGTCTACTGGTGGAGAAGGCCAAGAGAGAAATTCGAAAGAAACTGAATGAATTGAATTCATTGTCCGCAGCTAAGATTGCATCCAAAAATATTATAGGCAATGAAAATGCAAAGGAGAAACAAAACAAATCTTTGATAAACAACGAAGCACAGGATCAGAACAAGTCAGGGGGTTTTGTTGATCAAATCAATGGGGACCATTATGTTAAGTCTTTTCCTGGCAGTTCTGGTGTCCATGTTGACATGAAAACATTGGAAGCAATGTCCATACATGTTCCAGATCCAGATTTTCATGATTTTGACAAGGATCGAACTGAACGATCTTTTGAAGATAACCAGGTATGGGCTGCATATGCTGACAATGATGGGATGCCTCGTTGTTATGCTATGATTCATAATGTTATTTCTCTGAATCCGTTCAAGATGCGGATCAGCTGGCTTAATTCAAAAACTAACAGTGAATTGGGTCCGCATAACTGGGTAGGTTTTGGTTTCTCAAAATCCTGTGGCGAGTTCAGGATAAGCCGGCATGAGATCTACAGCTCACTTAATTCTTTTTCTCACAAGGTTAGGTGGACAAAAGGAATGTGCGGGGCCATTTGTATATATCCTAGAAGGGGTGATGTTTGGGCTATCTATAGGAACTGGTCCCCTGACTGGAACGAGTTAACAGCCCATGAAATAATACACAAGTATGATATGGTAGAAGTACTTGATGGGTACAATGAGGAACTAGGTGTCACAGTTACTCCCCTTGTCAAGGTTGCTGGTTTCAAGACAGTCTTTCACCAACATCTGGACCATAGAGAAATTAGAAGGATTCCAAGAGAAGAGATGTTTCGTTTCTCTCATCAAGTTCCTTCATACTTGCTTACAGGTCAAGAGGCTCCTAATGCTCTGAAGGGTTGCCGGGAGCTAGACCCAGCTGCTACTCCATTGGAACTTCTTCAGGTAATTATAGATGTTAAGGAAGAAGAGATTCTGGAAAATTCTGAGAAGATTAATGAAGAAAATGTTGTGGATGTAGAAATAGCTAAAGATAGAGGGGTGCTAGAGAATTGTGAAAAAGCTAGGGAACAAGAGGACTGTGGTTCTAAAGTTCTTGAGCAAATAGAAATTGTAGCCAATTTTAGAAATACTTAAGAAGATTAGCGAATAGAGCATACTGAATATGTATCATTAATTGAGTTCAAGATTAACTGGTTTGATGTGGACAGATGATATGGCCTGTTGTAAAATCGGATGGAACTCATTTCATGGTCATCTGATATATACAACCTTGGGCCGTTATCTGACTTTGAACTTGTGAAGGTGACCTCAAAATATATATCTAACCTTTCAATGATCTTCAAGTTGATATTTTAGGAGGAGAAAAAATCCACAGGGGTTTCTAGTGGATCATCCTGAAGGCTCACTCTGGTGCCAGCTCTACCAAATGGAACTTCTTGGGGTTTTGAAAGCGGAGAGCTAGCTATACATGCAGTTTCAGGGTAGAGAACACCTCTTTGTCTGATTGAACTCTTTAACATGCAGGCACTCTTACAATTACAATTTCATAGTGTTTTTCTTGCTCAATTTTCACATCCATGAGTATTTGACCGTCCTGGATTCATGTTCTTTTGTACTTGGCTGTAGAGTTGTACCATTAGTTCAGATTAGAGGTTCAATAAACAGTGTAGATTATGAGTTGATACAGTTACTGCTTTAATCATATCTATAATGATTATATACTTTTATGAGAATTTATCTTTTTTCAATCAGAGAGTCCTATTTCTTCAATATCTTGATGTGATCTTGGACTCCTATTGAGGTAATGGAGGAGGCAAGAATGCTGAGGCTTAACCCTTATTTTGGAGGCTCTGACCTAACCCATCAAAGCTCAACGTTTATCTGTGAAATGAACTTCTAGAAATCTAACAACTTTGTTTCATCCATAATCATGTTATTTTATGGCTTTGGGTTTGTGCTCAAATGCATGTTTTGTGGTTTGCCTTCCAGCAGCTGATGATTTTTGACTTTGCTTTACGTAGTCTGGAAACGTCTCACCATGGTTGAATCATTTTCATGGAGTTCTTTTCTGCTGTAAATGCCTTTGCCAGACAATGATTCAAAATTGCTTGTTTAGCAATGGGATGTAAGGTGCACGAACGAGTACCTTTGGCAGATCAAAAATATCATAATTTAAAAAATAAATAAATAAATAAAACTTCTACTACAAATTTCAAAAAATTCAAATAGATTAATTCGAAATTTGAACTAATAAACTTCAGTAAATTTTCGATAAGTGTATGAATAAACAAAAAAAAAAAAAAAAAAAACTTGTTCTTTTTAAGCTATGTTTGTTGGCGAGGTAATTTTCCTTCATTAAATCACTTTTAACCCATCAAAACACAAACCGAACAAGTACATTTTAATTACTGATTTTATGAAAAATTTTCCTTAAAGGGCGGTTTGACCCAACTCTTTAAAGCACGCAAGTTTACGTGTATCCAATTAACCAATTATATCTCGCCACGTAAACCAATAGGTGTCAGGACCAATCAGAACGAAGTCGGTGACGCTACGCCCGGGAACCCTTCAACTATCACTTGTCTGCTATATATAAGCCAGATGATTAGATGACATATGGTTTATCAGATCCGGAGATTTTCGCGAGAAAGGGACAGAAAAAAGAAAAAAAAAAAAAAGCTTTCTAGACGGAAAGCAAAGAGAATAATTCGCCTGAAATTTTCCTAAGCTTTCTCGCTGCAATCGTCTTCGGCTACCTGATCTCTCGGTCATCATGGTAATTTTTTATTTCCTCTTTTATTTTTTTCTAAAAGAATGTGTTTTTTTTTAATCATCGGTTTCCGCTTTTCACATTTATCTCTCTTATTAGTTTGTTTATATTATTTCTTAATCTACTTGTTTCTGGATCGATCTGATCTATAATTATTTTTCGTTCATTTATCTTTTCGAATCCACCTGGAAAATCGATTGTAGATTTCTGAGATTGTAGATCTCAATTTAATAGATTTATACGCCTAATAATTTGATCATGTATTCGTTCGATAATTATTTGAATAATTTAGCTAATTGTATTGAATTCTTGGCCTGACCCGTACGCAAATAGTTCGAATTCTCTTTCGTTTCAAAGTTCAAGTGATTCGAAAGAACCAGTGTTTTCTCATGGATCTTGTATAATGTTAAATGGGGTTCCTTTTTTGTGCTTTGTGCAGACAACATCAAGGCGCCTTGCGGACAGGAAGGTGGAGAAGTTCGAGATGAATATAACAAAGAGAGGAGCTGTGCCTGAAACATCCACAAAGAAGGGAAAGGATTATCCGGTTGGCCCTGTGCTGCTTGGGTTCTTCATATTCGTTGTCATTGGATCATGTAAGATTCTTGGCAGCTAATCCTTTCACCACAATACTTCCTTAGATATTCAGCGGTGACTTCAACTACAATCCATGAGTTTTGCACTAATATGGTTATCGTGTGTCCATGATAATATGGATATGAGTTCGTGATGTACTTGGCTTTGTGCGTGTGTATTGATAATGTGTCTTGTTTCTTCAGTGAAACGTCTAATTTGTTTTTTTTTTTTTAATTTCCTAATCTGCCCTGGAAACCTCCTAACCCATCTACTCTACTTACCTGGCTTACCTGCTGGGGAGAGCCGAGAGCATTACACCTCTACCTCCCAATTGCGGCATTTCTCATGCCATCTAACTATATTTCAGTTGGCAAAAGTCTAATTTGTTTGGTTTTCCTTTTTGTTGGAGTTCTTTCATTATGAAGGAGTTTGGACTTTATTGCTCTTAGCATGATATCCGCTTCTCCTGTATCCTAAAGTTTTCTTTTGGTTCATCAGTTCTTGGTTTGTAAATGTAATCTTCAAGGGTATTGCTTAAAACACCTATAATTACAATTTGGAATCGGGCAATAGTCCCACCAGGTATACTTGGTAGTGATAATTTCTGCCTATCCCAACACCTTGCATGATTTATTGATCAAATTCTTTTTTCATTTTCTGTAACAGCTCTCTTCCAGATTATCAGGACAGCGACCAGTGGAGGCATGGCATAAGTCTGCATAATCCATGTTAAGAAATTGCAGATGAGACTTGTCTTTCATGCCCTTTTTCTGTTAGTTTTGTAGGGAACTGATGATATATTTACTACACATGCTTACTCGTGTTGTGAAGTATTCAGAATTTAAATGAGACCTCCCCTTCTTGCCTCCTCCTATTTTATATGCAACTTTTTGCTTATTCTTTTGTTTTGGTACAAAATATACCTTAGCCTGGGACAAGAGAAAGGCTGAGATAGGAAAAAGAATTGCACGCGCTGAGTCTCTAACTCCAGGCCTATTGAATCTTTTATTGAATCTTACTTCTTAAGGGTGGCTACATGAACCAACTAAATTAAGTTTTGAATTCACCTTTTTGCCTGTTTCATTTATGAATGAATTAAATAGACTAGAAGCATTCTTTAAACTCTTTATTCCCCCACTGCATGATGTTGTTAAACCAACAGATTCACTAGATAATGGTGTTTAATGTCAGCACCATTAAGGTTCAAAGTTTTCACATAGTTTTATAACATTATCTAATTCATAGTATTTTGTTGAATTGGAATAATCAATTTGCTTCAAAATTTTCATTTTAAGTTATGGTTAACCAATTTGTTGCTAATGATCATAGAAGTTTTAGTTCCAAAGATTCCATTACTATGTTCTTGGAACGTGAGCCATTGATATTAATGCTATTTAACTTTGTCATTGAAGGTAATACCCTATGTACTTTATCTAGGCAAAACTAACTTGCAGCTGGTGTTTCAAGTCTTAAGAGAGGACAGTTGGGCAAAAGATACAGTGGTGGCTACATACCCAAGGCCCTCTTTCCTTTAAATCATCAGTTGTGTAATCATAAAAGTTAGTCCAATGGATAAGGAGACCCAACTCAATTTACTATCGTGAGCAAACTGTAAAGGCTGAATGAGATTTCCACAATCTTTTTACAAGGACTGCCAGGTCATCCAAATATATTAGAACTGAAACTTTCTGTTGAGTAATAAATCTATCAAGAGGCAATTAACCACTCGATTCTCTATGTAGCTATTATCTTAATTCAGCATAATTAAACAGTCTAACAGAGCTTTTGCACTGCTCTTTGAGAACAGGTGCACTTAAACAAGTCTCTTGTAAAACTAAAGGTATTCATCCATATGTTTGTACAAAAAAAAAAAAAAAGAGAATGGTCGTTCCTGTTTACTCCATTAAAACCACAAAGAAAATCCGGCAGAAAAGGAACTAGCAGCAAAAGCTTGTTAGCAGCCAAGCACAAATGCAGTGTGGTAGATACAGAAAAATAGGAAAAACCTACCTTGACATGCCAGTGCTGCCAGACACAAAAAGAAAGGTTGGAAATCAAGCAGTAGCAGTCAGACAAGGGTGAAAGGCAGTGCCACATGCTATCCACTGTCGCTTTCTCCCTCGTGGTACAACACATCCAGGAACCTTCAGCCACTCCCTGTTCTTCACATTGTATGTGACTAATCGGTTCATCTGTCTTGCTCTCAGTGACAACATGAGCAAACCTTTGTTGCCCAAGCAAGTCATTCTAACGTGCTTTCCATAAAACTCTAAGCACCATATGTTTGGCATTCTGTCAACCTCCTTCCACAGGAGCGTCATCTTCTGCAGCTCCCATATGCAGACACAATTGGCAAGATTTTTTGTCAGCAATCCCACAAGCATGATCCGGCCCTCATACTCTGCGAGTGTGTGGTCACTCAGATGTAGTGGGGCTGGGATAATGAATTGCTTCCATACCCCAGTCACCATATTGTAGGACACGATCCCTTCAGGGTCTGACCGCATGAAGTAAAGTGTGTGATCAATGGAAACTGCTTGTGACCGAAAGTTCAATGATAGTGGTAGCTTAATTTTTGAGGGCATGCTTCCTGGTCGACTCCATGAATTCTTCACTGAGTCATAAACTTCATACTCTCCATCACACCCCAACCACACGACCTTGTAGCCTCTACTGGTCGAATTTCCATTCAGAGTCATTCCCACAGCAACACGTGACCAGACTTTAACTGACCTAGCTGGCAACTCTTTAAATGACTGAGTCAAAGGGTTGCAGACATAGAAGTTCCTATGACCAATATCAAGAAAACAAACTAGACCACCTGCAGAAGCAATTGGAAGAGCAATCATCTTTGCTGGCAGAAAAGAGATTGTGCGGTGGTGCCATTTCCTAATGGAAGGGTCATACATGGCTCCAACATTTATATTTTCATGAGTAATGGTATAGAACCAGGGATTGGCCTGTGGGATTTCAGCACAATGCAGAGAGAAACTTTGCGAGTCCAGCAAGGAATTCCATTTATGGCAAACCGAGCGGAAGCGGTAGAATGCGGCAATGGGAAGTCTAGCAATGACAGCTTCAAAAAGGTCTTCGGGGAATTCTTTCCAAATTTCTTGTTCCAGAACCTCAGGTGTAGGGGTACTTTCAAGTAATTTCCCTCGGTTCCGCTCCTTTCGGGATTTCTTGCTTGGTGGTGGCTTGAAAGGTTCCAACATCTTATAATTTCCAGATTTCCCAGCAGCCATTACAAGACTGTAGTAATCATCTACAGAAGTATCATCGATATTGGGCAAGCACCACCTACATGAAAGCTAGCATGAGTTAGTCAACTTTCATACTTTCTAGTTCAACTTGAAACAACCTGAATGATTACTTGATAACTACAATAAATTTTCGATCATTCAGCTTAAGCATGTTTAAATCTTTAGTAGAAGTGTCCATTGCACCATTGAGCATATCAATATTCACATGGAACATATTAGAGTTTCATGATATGTTTAATTAGACAAGCCTAAAGAGATTGTCCATCAACTTTCCTCACCATCTTATTGCTCAACAGATGCAGCAAATGTACATGATTACCAATCTTCCATATTAGTTAGGTTTATACTAAGTTTATAGGAAACCAAAAAAAAAAGAAAAATGTTTTAGCAACATTTACAAATGGATGGTGGCAGTGCACACCTGGAAAAGAAAAGAATTGTTGTCAACAAATCTTTGTTACTCAACACAACTGGATTTTTTTTTTTTTTGAATCACTAGTAAATTAACTTTTTATTTTCCTTCGCATTTAGGAAGGAAAAAGAAGCCAATGAAGTCTCGGTTTAGTGGCAAGGAGGAGGCCCCAGAACCTTAAGATCCTAGGTTCAAAGTTCCACTGTTTGTGGATTTGGTTGTTTAGTTAAGTTCTAGTTTATTAATTGATTATTCAGTGATGTAATAGTTGATTATATGATTGTGATACTTGATTACGAGTGAATGTAATATTTAATTATGAGTGTAATTTTAAAAAAAAAAAGGAAGAAAAAAAGAAAATTGAAAAGAGCTGATTACTCAGATATTCATATAGCAAACAATTAACAAATGAGGTTCAACATTCATAGTTAACCATAATCACATACTAATCAACCAAGAAGAAATATTCAAGTATCATTTATCAAAAGGCAATGGTCAACAAGTTCAAAGTTGACCATGACAAGATAAAAGAAACAGCATCAATACCTAATAAAGAAGGGGGAACAGGAAACACTGAAAATTGTAAAAACGGGAAAAGGAAAACAAAAGCAAAAAGGAGTAAAAGAGAATCTACATGATTGGAATAGGATACAAGAATAATGGTAAAAACCTAAAACTGTTATAACCCACTAAATCTTGAAAAAGAAAAAAGTGGAAATTGGGAAAATAATGATATAAATGCCTCGAAAATTTTAATGTAATAAACATGGGGAAGCCACTGAAAAAAGAAAAAAAATGACAGAAAAAAACGACAATGGCATAACAGCAATTATACAAAAATCTCAACAAAGAGAAATGCAAGGAAAGAAACTAACATTATCGGGCAACATAGGGACACAAGATAACCTAAGACTATATCACCTAATTGTTGTCCAAAAAATAGAACCGAGAAATGGCAAAGCAGAGAAGAAAAAAAATATATAGAAAGAAATACAGAAATGTAGGTGAGAGAGCAAGAAGGAATTGAAGAGATCTATGTGAAGAGAGAAGGGAAAGGAAAGGAAAGGAACCTGCGGTGATGGTCGTCGGAAGGAGGAGGCAGTTGGTGAAAGTGAAGAAGGTGAAAAGGAGAGGGAGAAGGAGGAGAGCCGTGGAGTTGCAAGAGCTCTTGATGCTGACCGATGAGTTGCCTGTCCATGGCCAGCCCTTTCATGCCCCAATAGCCCCTCCCCAACAACACCAACAACAACAAAATATGAAATTTCCTTCTGTCTTTTTTCTTCGGCTCTCCCTTCTTATAAAATGACCTTTTTTTTCTTCTTTAATTCTCTGTGTCTTTTTTCTCCCTTTGAAACGCAGCTCTCCTTCTCTCTTTTCTCTTTCATGTGAGTTAGCCAGTCATCTATTTCCACGTCAGCTGGGCCATCACGATAATTTCTTGTAATTATTCTGACCCGCACGAACCTTTGTCATTGTAATGATCCCACTTGATTTTCACCCCATTATCTATCTACTCTCTTTTCCACTTTTGTCCTTTCTTTTTTTCTTCTTTTCTTATTGCCCCCCTCTCCAGTCTCCCCCCCCCCCCTTTTTTTTTTATTCTTCTTTTCAATTTATGCCAATTATATGTAATTCCCTAATATTATTTGTCATAACGTCTAGATTCGAAGATCTATCGTTAAACATTGACTTTTAAGAAATCGTCACCAATCATTTTTGTCTAGGTGTGATTGGTCACCTAAGAAATTTGTCCCTTCAGGGAACACCTAAAATTAAGGGTCCCTAAAAGAATAGGTTCAGGTCTACTAACTAGAACAGAGTTCGGGAGTTCGGTTACGTGTGAGGAAAGTTATAGCACCCTCACAACGCCCATCAAAAGATGGTACCAGCTTAAATTTATGTTATCCAAAAGCCTTAAAATTTTATCAAGTAATTAATTGTTGAAAATTATTCTCAGTTGACTCTAATACTTTTAGCAGAAAATTGAGAAAATCCCCTCACCTCAAGAGTATGCAAGAAAAAACTACTGTTTCACTTGCAGAGGTTCCGTCGTCGGATTGGTTAAAGAAAAATCAAAATCAAAATAAAAAGGAAGGAAATGATGATTATTTTTGTGTAGGAAAAATTGATACTTTCAACTTTTTCTCAAAAATATTTTTTTGATTTTTATTTAAAGAATATAAAACAAAATAAAAGTAAAAGTAAATAAAGAAGAAAAAAAAAAATAAAGAAAAGCAAAACAAAAATAAAAATAAGATAAAGATAAAAAATATTAAATAAATCTAATCTAATAAATAAAAAAATAGAAAAACAAACAAACAAATAAAAAAAAAAAACCTAGAGCAGCTCGGATCGCGACTCGGCTCGGCTCGGCTCAAGGAAGAGAAAACGGCTCGAAGGGCGACTTGGGAAGCTCGGCTCGGTTTGGCTCGGAGGGGGTAGGCACGCGCGGGTCAGAAGCGGGTCGACATTCGGGTCGGGTCGGGTTTCGGCAAAACGCACGGATCTTCTGGTTACTTAAGGTCAAAACGACGTCGTTTTGAGAGGGTATAAAAGGCACTTCCCTCTGTTTTTCGGTAAAACGCTCATCCCCTCTCTCTCTTTTCTTCTTTTTTCCTCTCCCCTCTCTCTAAAGGGCCTGAAGAACACCGGTAAATTTTTCGTCAGATTCTGAAAAAAGTCACCGGAATCTAAAAAATTCACCGGAGGTTCACCGAAAGTTTGCCGGAAGATCACCGGTTTCTGAGATTGTTCGCCAGGAATTGGGCAGGTCGTCGAAAACTTCAAGGTTCGCCGGAATTGTTGCCAAAAAATTCAAATGTCATCGAAATTTTCGCCGGAATCTGGAAATTTCCTAGAAATTTCCAAAAAAATTTTTCGCCAAAAATTTCTAAAAAATTATTTTCGATCCCTACAGCTACCCTAACTCTTCTCAACCTTCTTTAGCCTTTGAAAACTCTTCTATACACCTCTTTTCTCTCAAATTCAGTAGCTTCGCTCACTGTTTTCTTTGTCTGTCCTTCATCTGTTCCAGGAGGTACCTTTTATAGGGGTTGATCAGGAGTTCTTGATCAATCCCAATTTCTCCTTGGACGGGGATTCAATCTTTGAATCTAATTGAACTCTTCTGATTGAATTTTCCTCCACAGTGGGATTCTTCAACTTTTAATCTTAGCCCTCAAAAATAAAAATCAAAATAAAAAAATACTAGATAATTAGAAAAGATAAATCAAAAGATATTATAGTATAAAAAAATAAAAAAAATAATATCTGATAATCGAGAAAAAATCAGATAAAATTGAAAGATAATTTAAAAAATAATGATAACAAATAAAATAAGATAAACCCAAAAATATATTACAAAAAAATAATAATAATAATAATATAATAAATATATAACTATATAAATAATATACATATAAATTTATTCTAAAAAATAAATAAATAAATAAATACAGATATACATATATTAATACATAATAATAATAATAATAAATATAAAAATACATAAAATACAAAAGAAAAAAAAAATACATGATTGAATTGGGCTTTACCCATTTGGGCCAGGCCCAATTGATCTGGGCCTGGACCTAATTGGGTGTCTACAGCTGTCCCTCTTTGCACATTTTTTGTAAAACAGAAATTACGCAAAGACGTAGACACCCAATCAAGACTCAGCTCAACATTGTCATTTTTTTTGTTTTTTATATTTTTTTTGTTTTTTTTGTGTTTTTTTTTTTTTACCAAAGCTCCTCTAAACAGAGGCTCCACGACTTTGGAAAATAAATTGCTCCTCTAAACAGAGGCACCACGACTTTGAAAAATAAATTGCTCCTCTAAACAGAGGCACCACGACTTTGGAAAATAAATTACTCATCTAAACAGAGGCACCACGACTTTGGAAAAGTAAATTGCTCCTCTAAACAGAGGCACCACGACTTTGAAATGTAAATTGCTCCTTTAAACAGAGGCACCATGACTTTGGAAAAGTAAATTGCTCCTCTAAACAGAGGCACCACGACTTTTGAAAAGTAAATTACTCCTTGACAATCATGTCCAAAGGAGTTGAAAGTTGTGTTTGAAGGAATTTCAGGAGATTATGCCCAAAGATCTTACAAATCAACCCTGATACCAAAAGACATCCTATTTCAAGGATTAGAAACTTACCTGACAAGCTTTTTCTTTTTTAATTTTACAAAATATCTTCATATCTGTCTTCTGTATGTGGGATGTTGGAACACCCTTGCTTCTTGAATTTATACACTATACTTTTCTGAAAGTAGTGTATGTTATGCAATGTGCATGAATTTCAATGCATGCTATGCAAATGTTGGGCAATTAATTCCTATTCAATGTATGGTACTCAAGTTTCTCAAGCTCTTTTTCCTTTCTTGGGTGTCAAGCCCTTTAATTCTTCAACGATCCAATTGCACTGCTCTTCTAATATCGAACCAGTGTAGCTCTCAATTATCTTTTCCACTCACATTCTTCCTTGTTCAGTTTCTCAATACTTTGGAATAAGCTTCATCGATCGATCATCTCTTGACCATCATTCAATGAATTTCTCAACACTAACCAATTTCAAAACAAGTTTCATCCACCATCACTGGGTCATTATTCATAGGTGTCTCAGCATTTATCGTTCCAAAACAGACTTTGTCCATTAATTGTTCTCATCATTCAATCATAACTTGCAAGTCATATCGATCAATTCATTTTTGTACTCATCACTTGGTTATATCACTTTTCAAGATTTGCCCCATCATATATCATTCACAACCATCTCTTTTAGGTTTTTACCATTTTGTTACCATCATCATCTTAGATTTCTTTTCAAATAAATGCAAGACTCTTTTAATCACATATTCATTCATTCATTATCATTTCAATTTTTGACAAATACAATGCAATCAAGCATTTTCTCAATTCATTCTAGAGGTGAAACAATAAGAGAACACAAGGTGAATGAAGATCTATTTTGGTACAAAATTAAATGGGAGAGGAAATATAATTGATACATGTCAGTGGGATGAATGGTATGTCCAAATAATGAAATATTCAGACAATTCTCAACATTAATTTAGGATTCTTTTTCAAAAACTCATTCCATTTACTGCTGAAGTCATCTTGAGCTTAGCGAACTTTGCCCAAGTCTTTGAGGGATCTTCAAATATCTTTGATCTTGACCTGGATATTTTTCTATCAACCTTTCAGGTTTTCAATTTGAATCTCTTTTTTTTATTTTCTCATTTTTTTTCTTTTTTCTTTTTTTTCCTTTTTTTTTTCATCATCCATTGTTGATATCTTTCATGTAGCATGATTCCATTGCTTCATCACGAGCATGTCTTTTGCTCAACATATGATCATTCAAGTTGAGTATTCACATTTGATCCAAATGAACTTTTCAAGGTTGTAATGTAGGCCAAGGTGAAGGGTCATAAAAAAAATGGATATAATAGGCTCAAAACATGTATTAAAAAGATTCAAAACCAAAGGATCATTTGATACAACTTGGCATTTTACCCCCCATCATTTCACTATTTTTTCTTTTCTCACACAAAAGATTCCCATTACTTTACCCCAAGTCATGTGTGGCATTTATTTTTTCTTTTTTTTTTAGACCTTTTATGGTGTTTTTTTCTTTTTTTTCAAAAATTACCCTCTAGTGTAGAGGGTGATCCTTGGTTGGGGTTCTTTAAAAAAGAAATCGTTACAGGCTCAAAGGGGTAGCAATAAATGATTTTTTGAATGGTAAAAGAAAGATGGCCATTTTTCATCTCAATTGTGAATACCTTTCTTGAACATCATCTATTGAACAAAGCTCATGAATCTGTATAAAAGATTACACATCTTTAAGACATATCTATTTCACCTCCGGTAACAGCCTATTTTTGCTCAAATCATCTTCTCATATTAATATGGATGAGTTCTCAAAATTAAATCCCAGAATTATTGTTATCATTGTCTAAATATTCATCATCCAAAATTTGAGAATGGGAATGTGAAGTTATGAAAGGTAACAGGGCATGGAATAATGGTCGAGTGAAAGAGAAAAATGTAATGAAATGCATTGACTCGCCTTTATTAAAATGATAACAAGTGAAGTCACATTGCAAAAAGAAATCCAACAATCACTCGAAAAGAAATCCTAACATGACAGAAGAAACTTTCAACCAGCCTTATCTCTATTTTAAAATTGTCTCCCTATGCGATCAGGTGAATAATCTCTATTGACATCTTACCTCTCAATTCATTGTGACTCTCTGGACCCTTTCTGTTCTTGACTTTCACTCAGAGCGCTAACATTAGATGTTATTGCTTTTTTTTGACCAAAACTTACCATTTCATCATTGATCAACCATTGCACCTTATGCTTTAAAGCAGTACAATTTTTAGTAGAATGACCAGTAATTTCATAATGATAGTCACAACGGGCTGTAGGATCATACCACTTTGGATAGGGTGGTTTAAGCGGCTCCACATGGTGAAGGT